ACTTCACTGCTCTGTGCATGGGCAACTGACATAGGCTCAAATCTACCTCTTTCAAGCATGCCAGGCTGGCTGTGTGCAGCCATCTTGGCGGGGGCATCCTTCCCATTAAAGACGACGCATGTACAATAAAAATAAATCCTGTCTTTCTTATTTCTCAACTGATTTTTATGCGGTTTACTTCATTTTCAACGTCAAAATATGTGCAATTACTACCGAACATTTCAGCACGTGTTTTGGCATTGACAATAAAGTAAACCGCATAAAAATCAGTGGAAACAGTGTCCCCACCAAGATGGCCGCCACGTAGGCATGAAGCTCAAAGGGGCATGTTGTATCTACTGTTCATATCTAAAGGGATTAGTGTGGGTGTTACCTAACACCAAGAGTTGTTGACCCTTGACCTTTGAGAATGTTAACTTCCATTAAGCTACTGTGCTTCTTACTAGTTTTGCTGGCAGGATAACTCGTGACACTTTGGTTTGTTCTTCACAGTAGATAATATTTGTCAAATCTTATAAATGATCTGTAAATTCTGAGCATTAAAAGTCATCATGATGGAGCTTTCACCCAGATTGACTGCAGCCCTATCTTCTTTTATCCACAAAGATCCTGCCACTGCAGCAGAACAAAAAAAAAACAGTTGTCAGTGTGGGGGTACAAAATGAACCAAATATAAATGATGAAGTCAAAACATTGGCTGAGCCAGAGCCCTTCCCCTTTATTTATTGTACAAATATATCTGGGAGACAGAGACAGAGCTTGTCTGATGCTCAGGCTCTGCTGACCTGTAGTCACAGCACACTTGCAAAACAAAATCGTGCCAGAGACAAACAGAAGATAGGCAATATTTCTCTGCCCCGCTGACAGAGGGCCCGGTTCAGTAGGGGCCTCCTGCTCCAGTTGGCTTGGCTTGTTTTCAGGCCCGTGCTCCCTAATGGTGGGATGAGCAGATACAGGCTAATCGAGGACCTTGCAGTGAGGTCAGGGGTGAAACAGAGTGATAGATAGAAAGTGTCTCCCTGCATGTGGCTTCTGCTGAGCAAACAGTCTAATGGTAGAGATTTGCTGTGCAAGTTTTTTTAGAGCTGAGGCAACTTTGTCAGGGACGGGGCAGGAGTTCAGCCACTTAACTAATTTCTGCATTAAACTGTTTGAAAAATTTCACTTTTATCTTAAGTCAGCAAGTGAGATGACACAGCAGCAGCCACGTTTCCCCTTGAAAAGCCCTTGACCCCTGAGTTAAGACATGCTTCTTCCGATTTCTGTTTGACAACCAGCTTTAAATCCTGACACAGAAACAAGTGAAGACGCTCAAAGATATTTTATCCCCAGAGCTGGTTTATATCTCTTACGTGGACACCAACAACATTTTAAACCTCACTTTTTAAACACAGTTGACAAGTGCAGTCCACAATTAACTCAACATCAACTTTTACTGTGTTTCTCCCTAAATGTTTTCACTAATAATCTGTCATTTCCCAAGAGTTTTTTTTAATTTCTGAGTTGAGATTTTCAATTTGAAGAAAGTTTTTATAACTTTTTTAATTGTGAGTTTTTTAAATGTCTCAATGCAGTAAAATCCAGACAAAAAAATTCAAGTTGATTTAAACTTTTGAAACTTTCTTGGGGGGCCTTTAATCTCCACTTGGCTCAAAAACTGACAGAGATTGTGCAAAACAAACCTTATACAGTAAAACAGGAGGACAGTAAAGGGTTGAAGATCTGCAAATGTCAGTGAACATCACAACACAAAAAACCTCTTTGGAGCCTTTTTTGATCACAACTAATCACCAATTTACACAAACCAATTGCAATAGTTTGCATGTTTAAAATTTTAAACTTTTGCATTTTGCATAAATTCAGTTTCTGAGTCTATAACAATGAAGCACTTCTTATGTCATCTTCATATTTCTATTTTTTAGTTCTTACCAGTGTCTTCTTTTGAAAATCAAGTGAATGCAATGAAATCTAATTAGGGTCTCAACTTATAGATTCATTATTATTAAAAAAATTGCTGAAGACAGACAGCTTTAAAGTGTTTATTGTGTCAATACAGGGTAAATTTGAGTTTTAAGGCAAATGAATGTAGTGTCTATTTCGTGTCAATGTTATGTGCAGTTTTTCGAATCATTTTGTTCACCAACACTCCTCAATTTTGGTGACCTTTTGTCTGCTGACGCCTGTCTGTTTAGCTGCACCTGTGTTCTTAGCTCACATCACAGGTGGTGGATCAAACTCGGATTATCTGCTGATATTTAAAGAAGTATTTTGAAGTTAAATTTGTCATTCATAATCACAATTACTTTCCAGCCCTTTTTTACATCTTGGACCGTAACTACATCACAGTGGATGGGTTGAAATTGACAATCCTACTTCTTTAAAATGTTGTTTTTGTTGTTTTTCTTTATTTCAGATATGGGACCCCACCTCTCTACAGAGAGTCAGCATGATTTTTTGAATTATTTTTTAAAGGAAGATGAGGCTGCAAGAAAAGAAATCTCGTCACTCATGATGGTCCAGCCAGTGACGATAATCAGACACAGTGATGGTAGGTGATGGTTTTGTGTTTCCTGTCTTTGAAAATCACACAGTAGCCTTTAGCTGTGGACTCTCCGCTTTCTGCGTGTTTCCACACTTTGACCCTCAGCAGCCGCCCACTGTTTCCTTTTTCAGCTAACAATAGACTCCACAGCGCTTAGCCAGCAAAACGTATTGTCAGAATCAATTTATATTAATGTGAGTGTATTTAATTCTGCTGAAACACACTATAGCTGTGGATGTATACACACACATCCACAAAAAGACACAGACCATTGTTTCTATGAGGAGTTTAAAAATAAACCCGTAAGCTGTAAATACTAACCATGTCAAGATGATTGAATACAGTTTTTATCAGTGAGAGAAATTACAAAACATATGTGCAGTTCATGACTGATTGTCTATCACAGTGCTTGATTCAGCCAAACTAGAGGGCGCTCTTTCATCGTGTAAATATCAACTACTTTACATGAAGTGAAGTTCATTTATATACAACTATTTCATGAGGGGTCCAAATGATTGCTGAGCGCCGGAGCAATTCTGTCATTTTTGTGAGTTAGAATTACTTTTCTTTTAAACATGGAAAACACACAACAAAACATATTATATCTCAAAATGATACCATATTATCATCTCATCTTATCTCATATCATATCATCTTATATCATATCATATCATATCATAACATATCATATATCCTATTGCATCATATCATATCATATCATATCATGTCATGTCATCTCATCTCATCTCGTATATCATATCATATCATATCATAACTTCTCCTTAAATAGTATTGTATTATATTATATAATAACTACTTTGTTGATATACATATATATGTATATATCTATTTATATATATATATATATATATAGAAAGAGAGAGAGAGAGAGAGAGAGAGAGAGAGAATCTTTTTATTCTTTTTTCATTCCTAGCTAAAAACATGGGGTAGTTGTTAAAATCCTTGTCAGTGCTCAGGCAGGGTTGGTTTTTGCACTTGGTGTTTAGATGTAAAGCGTTATCACACTATGGTTCAAAAAAGCTGAATTTTTCTCTTTATTAAAAAAAAATGTGTTTTAAATATGATGACACACATGCACAGAGTTTTATCGAGATTCATACTTTTACTTCACACAGAACCGTCTAAAATCCGTTTTTGTCAATTTTTGCAACAACTTTGATCATATCCTGAAAATTTGTGGGGATGTATTTATATGTTTGTTATCAGGACAAATCGTATGCAGAATTTCCCTATATAAGAATATAAAATGAAGTGTCACGATATGTCAAATGTGACAAACACCTTAAAGAAAATTGTGCCCTATCTTAAAAAAATATGGGCTCAGTATTTACCAAATGTTTGTCATATCATAAGTCTGTCACTGAAATATAAAAATACATCAGAGATACATGTGTGGCGTTGAAATGGGACATGAGTCAGGTAGATGGGGGGGATGTTATTTTCATGTATTCTGATGGTATTAAACCAGTCCCATTCCAGGGATAGGACCTTTTACACTCCTGTGGTCTGAAAATATTCAGGAAAATATCACGGCAAAAACATGTCTGGATTCTGAAGTATTTCGAGCAGTTACAAATTTGGTATTTTTTCAGTGACTTTACAAACTTTATGCTTGAAATATTTCTCTACAGTATTATGTCAGGACTCTTAAACACACAATGCTACATCTTCTTCCAGCGCACTTTTGTCCTGAGTATGTATGTTTGAAAAGATCTAGGCAAAAGGAAACAACATGACAGTGTCCAATTGGAGTGCCTTAGATTGGACATAGTGCAGACAGTGTTAGAGGAAATGCATGGTGTGTTGCTGCTTCTTTTACAAATTTTGATTATTTTTTCACTCATATGTGATAGTTTAACAAACCAGCATCAACATGAAAGCCCCATACCATCATCATCTTGAGTGCCATGTAAGTGCTAAGATGTTCACAAAACGCTGGGTCTAAAAGTTTTTATGAAGTAGAAAGAGATTGAGCAGATCAAATGAAGTTGGGTGAGTCATTGCCCTTGGGGGACAACAGAGGAATAAAGTCTGATAAGTGACCCGGGCCCTATTGGGATGGGATCACCAGGTGCCTTTTGTCGACAGAGCTGAGAAGGTTGAAGGGAGTCTAGACCTGGATGGAGATTTTATGCTCGGTAGGAGCTGCGACTGGGAAGCCTGTGAAGAGAGATGATCATCATATTAGGCCAATTATTGTACTCAGGTTTAATCCAACACGCTGAAAAGGAAGAATTTATAAGTGAGGATCTGTATCTGAACTCCATCAGGACAGTCTCCTTTCCTCCATCAGCACCGCTCCGTCTCTGTCCTGTCCAGCCATTTCTTTCCCAGAGGAGGCAGCAAGCACAGGTCACATGACTCCGCGCCCACCAATAGCGATCCATCTCTTTAACTTTTGTGATAAGGGAAACGCAGTAAAGAGCGAGCAGGCTGAAGGAGTTTCACTCTGAGATCGTCATGGTCATCATCTCACACTGGTGTTAACCACAGACCTGGTTGGCTCTTAGAGCAGCTTCCTCTTAGACACTGACCACACGGATCTGCTCGGTCCTTTTTTTTTTATTCTGCCCTCCTCGGCAGCCCATGCACGGCTGCAGCCGCACAGCCACATCCAGGTTTTAATCATCAGACAATCGTCAGACACCGGCCGCTGTTTGCTGAGCAGATGTTGGGAGATAAAGCTCACGGTAAGTCTGTCCGCGCGTTTGGCACAGTGTCTTCACAGCTCTATATATGACCAGGATATCAATGAAAGTTGATTCCGTTCATCCACAGATTTAAGTAGATTATGATAAATAAAAAAGTAATGATTGCAGTAATGATAGAGATGATTTACTTGTTGTTCAGGCCTGATTGTCTGAACTCACGACTGTCAAAAAAATGGATAAATTACCGGTGGATCAGCGCAGGAAGGCCAATTTGAGAGAATAAATCAAAGCAAACAAGAAAAAATGTTTATTTTTCCAAGTGCGAATTAATTCAAAATATTGTCATAATTATAGGATTTACATCACTAAACGAAAATATACAAAATATAGAGAAATCTACATTTATGAAGCAGATAATTTTGTATGTTTTAGTATCGCTTGGATGTTTTAACAACTTGTAGCGCACAAACAAAACAAGAATTTCCAAGAGAATAAAAAAATGCAATCTAAAAGTAACCCTAGAAATAACGGGATTATAATTTAGATTATTTGACTGATCATAGTGCCATCTGTGTGGCTTTACATGTGCTAAAACGCGCATTACGCACGGACTGCTCCACCGGGCGGCGGCACTTGACGCCCTCATGGAGCTCAAATCTGCCACTTTATTTATCATATCCACCCTGTTTATCAGCTCAGGTCATTTACTCTCTTATTATTCATTATGATGCACCAAAACACTGAGTTTCACGCGGGCTCGTCCCTTCCTCGTTGACAGGACATCGAGCAGAGGTATGGCGCCTCAGCGTGATTATTTCAGCCGCCTCTGCTACATTTACATCAAGAGAGAAAGAGAGCGAGAGTAATTTTTTTGTCTTTGAAAAGTATCTCTGCTACTAAAAGTGGAAGAAAAGCTCTCCTTGGGACTGTCTTAAGGTGTTAAATTTATTCTATGTTTTATAAGACTTCGGGTGAATTTAAATAAAGGATTCCACTAAAAAACAAAAAATAAAATAAGTAATAATAGATGTTAAAGCGACATAAACTAACACCTTCGCTGACTTTCGCATTCGTTAAAAAATAATTAAAAAAAAGATCAAACAATGGCTTTTATTTCTAAAAAAGAAAAAAAAAGCTCAGTTTATCTGCCCCCCGAATATAAGCAGTCAGTTTAGTGTTAATGTACAGAAAAAAAAAATGTGATTATTAAACTATTTCGTTGTGGACTTCATGTCCAGACTTGTCTTTTTTTGCTTGCTGTTGTTCTTTATAATGCCGTGCAACAACTGTGCGAAAATCGAGTTTTCATCCACCCTATATGGGAAAAATCCAAAGCTGATAATCTTGTATTACGGGTGTGTAAACAAAAGAAAAACGATTTCAGTTGCATTTATTTTCAGCCAAATGTCATAATTTTATTGGACGCAGTAGTAAACCATATTATGCAACCAGACAGAGACAGAGTGGCCCATAAATCAAAGAAATTCGATACAGTCAATGAGTTTTCAGTGAAATATTCATACAACAGTCTGGGGTTCAACAATGAATCCTGAATTTATAGACATTATTATAAACATTTGTAATAACGACATTGTGAAAATGGAAATTATTAACAGACTGTTTTAATGCAGTTACGCTCACATTTTGTCAAATGTGCCAGTAAAATGGAGGCCATGATATAAAAATAAAGTTTAACCAGCTGTCAGCTAACTTTAGATTCATTGATGATTAAATGATCACCAAACTGCTGTTATTTTAGTATCGAAGACTCCGGAGAAACATGCTGCAAACACACATCATGTCTTAAACAGGAGGAACAGCAAATAGAAACTGTCTAGCTTTAATATGATTCTGAATTTAGTTTTAAGTAACAGACTTCTCATCCGAGCAATTTTTCTTCTATCACACCATGAAGATTGAGGGCCAGATTAAAAACAATCAAATTGAAAGTAAAAAGAAAAAGAAAAAAAAAACGGTTAAAATCGACAAAATCATCGATAATAAAATAGGCCATGGTTATTTTTAACTGCATAAATATGCACCACATGGACGTGTTAAAATACCATCTAAATAAATCTATATAAAGAAACATTTCGCATTGTCATTTTTTTCTAGTACTATAGATTTATATGCATTCCTTTTAGCATTCCTCTCACTGAATATGCACAGATGTAATGACACGTCTTATAAATGAACTTTACTGCACAAAATCTAAAAAAAAGAAAAAAGCAAAAATAAGCAGCGATCACATAAAAAAATTAGTTGGTATTTTATATATAAGAAAAAATAAACAAAAAACAAAAACAGAGCATTTAAAATGTTGCGAAAAGAACATTTACTACATACTTTTTAATAAACATTTTTATTGTTTTTTATTACACATTTAAGTGTAGAGTGGCTGCATTAAAACCACTCTGAATTATCGAGTCATGTCAGACAACTGTGCATGGAGATTTGCCTTTTCATTGTAACACTCTAAGTGTGCGATATTGTCTGGGTTGGACGTGTGTGTGTGTGTGTGTGTGTGTGTGTGTATGTGTGTGTGTGTGTGTGTGTGTGTGTGTGCAGCAGGTGTGTCTTTGAAGGTTATGGAATACACATATGACGATGACCTGGAAGAGTTGTGTCCTGTGTGCGGAGACAAGGTGTCCGGATACCACTACGGTCTGCTCACCTGCGAGAGCTGCAAGGTGACACACACACACACACACACACACTGAACCTTGAACGCATGAATAAATAATAAGACACTTGTTCCTGTTTTAAATATTATGCCAGGTTTATTATTATAACATGGTCACCCACACGTCCACTCACAGTTTCTCGATGGTATGATATTGGACCAGTCCCGCGATAAGATCTCGAAAAGTCATGCGTAAAAGCGTCAGAATAACAAAAACCGTGACGCCGTATTCACTGTACTCTCAGCTTGATTTCCTTCCCTGCTCTTTTCTAAGATGCTGTATTTTTTCAGGGCTTCTTCAAGAGGACAGTTCAGAATAACAAAAGATACACATGTGCGGAGAACCAGGAGTGTAAAATAGACAAAACCCAGAGAAAGAGGTGTCCTTTCTGCCGCTTCCAGAAGTGCCTCAGCGTCGGGATGAGACTAGAAGGTAGGCCACACCTCACTGTTTACAACCTGCTATCCAAAAAGACACCACTACTCCCTCTAATTATAGTCAAAATAATAGACTAATAATTCAAAAAATAACAATAATAAAGTTTCAAAAATGTAACTGCAAAAAAAATCTACTGGAATTATTATTATTATTATTATTATTATTATTATTATTATTATTATTATCATTTATTTTTTATTATTTTTACATTTTATTTTTATGTGCACAAATAAGTGCAGTTACGAACCTTTATTATTATCTATTTTTTTCATAATGTATCATGCATAAAATTCATTAAATATGTCTTTCTTTCTGAACCGGTGGCCCTCATAATGCTTCCTACACATGGGTTGAGATTAATTCCCAGACAGTAATGCAGGAAAGCACCTGTTTCCGTAGCAGAAAAAAAAAAAAGGACACATTCTTGACTTACTGATAAAACTCTGGAGACTCCCCCCTGTTTTAAATCAAAAGCTCTATTTAGGCTACAAGAGGAAGGAGAGCAGCACAGACTCGGGGGAATCTTCTCAGCCCTAAAAAGGGAAGCAAAAAATGGTCAACATGTCTGTTGTTTACTCTGCTGGAGAGCTGGGGATAACTGGTGAAGAACTGAGGATTTTTGCTCATGGAGGAGAGTTGTGTACAATCTTTTTAGTCATTGGATTTTATTTGTGAATCTGTTCTCTATTTCTCCTCTCTTGTGTGACAGCTGTGCGCGCAGACCGCATGCGTGGAGGGAGGAATAAATTTGGTCCCATGTACAAGAGAGACAGGGCCTTGAAGCAGCAGAAGAAAGCTTTGATACGATCCAACGGCTTCAAGCTGGAGAGCGCAGCTCCTCCGCCAACCTCTCCTCTGCAGACTGACTACAGCTTCGCCAGCACCCTGCACGGGCTGCCCACCATCTCTAAAAGTCTGCTCCCCTCCACCCCAAGCACCATTGCCCCAACAGACTACGAGGCCAACCTCTATGGACCTCCCTCCTTGGGCATGGCCATGCAGTCCCACGTGCCCCTGACTACCCAATACCAGTACACAGCCTTCCCCAGCAGGGCCATTAAAGCTGAGTGTCCTGACTACACCAGCTCCCCCGAGTCTCTGACAGGATACCCCTACCCTGACATGTACCCCTCTGCCTCGCCACAGCCCCCAAACCTGCCCCCGCTGGTGGTGGAGCTGCTGCGTTGCGATCCAGACGAGCTGATGGTGCAGAATAAGATCGTGGCTCACCTGCAGCAGGAGCAGAGCAGCCGGGGACGCTTGGACAAGCCCAGCACCTTCAGTCTGATGAGCCGCATGGCAGACCAGACCCTGTTCTCGATAGTGGAGTGGGCCCGCAGCTGCATCTTCTTCAAGGAGCTCAGGGTGAGTGCCAAACCTCTTTCACCTTTCATCACCTTACTTCTCCAACTGCTGCAGACAAACCTTTACTATTTATCCAGATTAACTTTTATTACACCACTTTACAAGGTCTTAGTCCACTAATGCTGCTTTTTGTCAGAGTATAATCTGTGCCTGATTCATTCATGCTCAAAATCCTGATTGTCTTCCTCTTGTTGCCTCAGTCCTCTTGGTTTAGGTTGGTCTGGTTAGCTGTCATGTCCTTTACACAACTGAAATAAACGCCTCATTGCCACCCACCCAAGCAGCAGCGCTCCACAGAGTAGAATCCAGATGTACTACCAGCTGCACCTGAAATGCAAAACACACATGAACATCTGGAAATAGTTCAATAGTAAAGTTCAAAAGCTTCGGCAAGACGAGTCCTCCTGTTCTACCGTTTTTATCTGTCTATATGAGATTTCTCTAACAAAGTGGTTCAATAGAGCTGAAATAAAAACAACATAGTTAACAACATCTTCTTTACTCAAAAGGAGAGGAATATTTTTATATGTGAGTGGGCTGTCATACTTCAGTTTTAAAATAGTTTAAAGGCTGAAGGCTCTTTATTATAAAATGTACGCATTTACTATTGAGTCAGTGTAGATTCATAACCAAACCAGCAATAAGAAATAAAGGCATTTTGCCTGCAAAGATAAGAAACCCGCTTGTTGTGAAAAGTACGTTTTATTTGATGTTAATTCGAAATGTAAAATGTGATGGTCCACCAAATGCAACTCATTTTTGTACAACTCAAATTAAAAAAAAGTTTGAAGGCCGTAAAAAATATTGAACTGAATTTGAATTTGTTTCAACATAATATTTAATTGAAAATATTGCAAAGACAACAAATCGAATATTAAAACAGGAGAGATTCATGCAGTCGTTTTGAGAAAAATATACGTTTATTTTAATCTTGATGACAGCATCATGTTTTAAAAGAGTTGGGACAACTATATAAGCCGCTGTGACACGCCAGAAAAAAATGACCCATTAGGTCGTTACGGATTGGAGGACTTGTTGCTTCTTTAACATTTCAGAATCAGTATTAGAATGTGAACCAAGGTAACCAGTTTCTGCAGTTTTGACAGTGAATGTCCATTGTTGCCTGACAGGATTTCAGATGATTAACAGTTCAGGGTCTCCCTTGGGGATATTATGTAGTTCATAATTTGCCAAATACGTGATACAAGATACAAGTGACAAGTCAAGACTGCAGGTAGGCCACTTTAAAACCTGCACTCTTCTACAACTATGCAGTTTTTGTAGTTGTACTAGATGTAGTTTAGCGTTGTCATGCTGATGTGATTACATAATTTGGCTATAATGCTGCCTCCCCTGCTCTGCAAGATACCCATGTCATGGACACTAAGGGATCTTGGCCTTTAAAAGAAATAACAAGCAGCATTGTTGATTTCCATGATGAATGTTAAATAATGTTTTGTAAAACCACAGGACAAGTTTCCCTGTTACCCTCAGTCCATCTAACATGGAAATTGTTAGTAGGGGCATCCTGATACAACTTTTTAAACTTCAGATACGATAAACCGATATTGTAGCCTTCAGTGCTGGCTGATACAGATATTGATCTGATATTGGCATGACAAGTTTTGCACTCAGCTGCAACATTTTTTTTATACAGTGTCTACCTTAGTACACACTGTTGTTGCAATTACATGGACTCTGCATGCTGGATCTGGGTGCTGCTAGATAGAGGTGCTGGAGTGGAGTTTGGAATGGAGTGCTAGATTTTAGATGCAGGCTGATATAATCCAATATGTGTCTTTTTTATGCTGGGATTGGATCGATAAACAATACCAATACCACATCGAGACATTCCCAGTTGTTAGTGTTTCTTGATTGTTCTTATATGTTTTGCTGGTACATGCATTTATAGATACAATGATAAAGTGTGTTCACAGACAATGGATTTCAAATGTGATATTGAGACTATGCAGTGATTTCCACTGTAGATTCATGTCTGTTTTTGGTCCTAGCTGAGGGCCTGAGGATCACAGTTATCCAGTATTGGTTTTGTTCCTTTTACGCTTAGATTTAGATTCTATGTTGTTCTTGATGAGTTTGGAAATTGTCTCAATAATGACAGAAACCAACAACATTTTACTAAAAATTCATTCTCACACACGTTTTTATGCTACAGTTGTCCATCACACATACATTTTAAGATTTTTTCTTTTTTATTTCTAAGTAGTAATAATCAATCCTGGTTAAAAACTCTCTGGTACTTTTGGCAGGTACATCATGTTCAGGGGCCGACTATAAGCCAAGAAGCAGCCAATATTGTTGGTTTGTTCTTGGCGAAGATTATTTCACCATTCAAGTTTTCTACCAGGAGCCAAATTCTGATCCTTTTCAAAACAACAAAGTAAACACTGAATAAAGCAGCACCACGCTAAATCTTAAAAATAATTGTTTCTCCTTTTTTCACTCTTTAATAGCCCCAAATCTTTAATTTTGGAATAAGGTACAATTTCAAACAAACAGGGAGTGTGAAGTGACCGTATGTGACTGAGAACAGACAGCTGGTATGAGGTAATGTTCAAATGTCTGTCTACCACAGTTATGAAGATATTTATTCTGTGTGGACAATATCGCTTTAACATGATTAAACTTACCATTTTAGTACGCGTGTGCGATCATAATCCTGTATTGAAATGCTATAATTAACTGCTGTGATGGAACCTTATCAAAAGGACACATAAAGTTGTATCTAATCTAATCTATTACATTTTCAAATATATTGATGATTTTACACCAAAAATCGATTTTGAAAAAACAAACAAACAAACAAACAAAAAAAAAAACACTTCCTTTGTACAAACCAGGCTGTTAAGCTGCGTTTGTGGTAAAAGGTCACTCTGCAACTTTATCAAAATTAGCTGACTCAGCTGTAATTTCTCACATTGAGCAGAATATTTCCACTGATGGTGAAGTTGTAACAGGGTGAACAGGACAATATGACCTGCACCTTGGTGAAATTCTCTGCTTTACCACTGTTGGCCTGTGACATTTTTACACAACAACTTGCCCTTTAACGTCAGTGAATCTAACGCCATGTTCTGTTACTTGTTTACTTCATTTGCCGTTTTCAGTTTTGTAGATTGTCATTAAAAACCGCGTCTGTGTCTTCAGCCTTACTGGATTTTTGTCTTCTGTTTTGGTCTCATGATTGCTCCACCATAAATAACTTATTCTTCAATAAATGTTGCTATGTGATGATCAATCAGAATGAAATGCTTTACACAGAGTAAGTGGATTGTTGCACAGTCTTATAACACTTATTTGCTCACTGTGGGTTATGCTTCAGTGATGATTAAGAGGACTATAAAAGGACACGATCTTGTTTTATTTCTGTGAACTGCCAGTGTAATCTTTATCTTATTTAATTTTATCCATCAATAATATGGCTGAATGCAACGCTCCTCATGGTAACGTAGGATGTACATTCTCCACTGGTGAATCAGGCAGCTTATGCAACAATGAAAAAATACCTACCTTGCCTTGGTGAGTCACTCTAAAATCTGCCTGCGTCGACAAACATCTGTCAACAAGCCATGGTCAAACTGATTCAACCAATTAAACAGTTGAACTGCCACAAAAGGATGATTGTGGCCTTGGTGAGATATGGTTAGACTCTCTTCTGTCTTTCATCCGGTGCAGTTAACTCTGATGTATTCAGCACAGTTTTGCTCCTTTTTCTGCTGAAAATCATTCACTTTAAAATATACCAAGGCTTTGGCATGTGGTCATTGCTACTAGTCAATGGATGAATAACCCATAACCAAGTTACAACCAAATGATTAAAGGAAACATCTGAAATGGCCTTATGTGATTTTCAAATCAGCAGAGTTGGATTACTGATCAATATTTTTAACTACTGGTACAGGCATATGAGTTGATCTGGTGTCGTCTTGTTATGATTGCAGCACAATTGTATTCTGATATATATTTCTAATTGGATGCTCGATGATACTAAACAGTTGATCAGTTTCAGAAAAATATTCCTGAGCACGAAGATTCAGATACTTTAAAAGAATCTGGAGAAATCTAAGTAAGGAAAAAGGTCCAAAACCAACACTGGATTACTGGTACTTGCTTTTTTAGGCCCACAGGCAGCACTGCATTATAAAGAGAAGTCTCTGTGGTGGAAATCACTGCATGCTCCCAAAGTTATAGCTTCATTAATGCTGATATATAGTTTTTGGAACAAAATAACCAAAATTACAATTCAAAACAGAATAGGATGATTGCCAAATCCTTCTCAACACACATTCAACTGAATACACTACAAAGACAAAATTCCTGTTCAAAATGATCTGTTATTTTTAAAATATTCATTCGGAATACATCATCTTTCCTTTTAACATCACTCAATAAGCCTTTGGGAACTGAGGACACTAACTGTTGAAGCTTTGGAGGTAGAACTGTTTCCCATTCTTGCTTGATGTATGACTTCAGTTGTTTAGCAGGGCTTGTGTGGTAGCAGATGTTGCTCCAAAACCTGTGTGTACCTTTCAGCATAATGGTGCACACCCCTGTACCATCGCCCCTGTGCTGGCTGTTGAACTTGGCACTGTTGTTGGGCTACATTTCCATTTCCACTTTGAATCAGTCCATCTCAGATGAGCTCAGGCCCAGAGAAGCCCCGTGTTGTTTCTAGATGTTGTTAAATCTGGCTTTGGCTTTGCATGGGAGAGTTTGAACTTACACTTGTAGATGTAGTGATGAAATGTGTTAACTGGCAATGGTTTTCCAGAGTGTTCCTGAATTCACATGGCGGTTATATCCTTTACAGAATGATGACTGTTTTTAATTCAGGGTTGTCTGAGGGGTCATAGGTCACAGGCATTCAATCTTAGTTTTCGGGCTTGCTGTGACGGGCAGAGGTTTCTGATTCTCTGAATCTTTAGACGATATTATGGACTGTAGTTGATGAAATCCCTAAATTCCTGTTTTCCTGTGAATTACAAACAAGTGTTTTTAACCATTCCTCAATTTTCCCAGCCTTTTGTTGCCCCTACTTCAACTCTTTTGGAAGCATCAAATTCAAAATGAGTGAATATTTACAAAAAAATATATACATATCAGTTTGAATATTAGATATTGCATCTTTGCTGTGTATTCAAATGAATATAGGTTGAAAATGATTTGCCAATCATCGTATTCTGTTTTATTCACGTTTTACACAACATCCCAACTTTCTTGGAATTGGGGTTTGAATTTTAGACGAAGACTGAACATAATCAAATGTTTAGTTTGGAAATAATAAAATGAAGAAAACATGATTGGAAATGTAATTTTTTATGAAATAGGTACAACAACTGAAAGGCTCCAGTGTTTGGCTATTTTTGGTTTCCATATCTCACCAAGTATGGTTTCCAAGCACAATGGAGATCCTGAATGTAACCTGTGGCGGAGCAGATTAGGTGTTTAGCATAATCTATCAGAATGATAGGAAAAGAACCCTCCTTTGTAGTAATCTGGAGTTAATTCTCTGTCATAAAACTCATAAAACACACTCTGAAACTTCAAGTCTATTCAGTAAAAGAATGTTTATTAAGATTTGTGAAGGATTTCGTTTTTTTCTGAAATGTCTTGCTTTGCCAAAGAATACGTATAGATTAATCTCTTTTACTAAAGCAGAAATTGGAAACATATGAGATGTGAGACAGCAGATATTTTTTGATAAACTTCCCAATCAAGCTTTTGAAAATTATTTTTCTTAAAATTAAATTCAACAAACGATCAATCAAACAAACTATTTGTCTAATCAACAAAATGAATAAATCTGTGAATCTTTACTGTAAACACTGAATGTGAAATACTGTAATTAATGATGTTGTGACACAGGCAGGCTGATGGAAAGAATTTAATCAGCATTCGAAGTGATTTCAAAAGTTTTTAAATTCAGAGATGGTAATTATTTTAGCATTGTTAGATTCCTTAAAGTTCACATATACAACCAGCATATAGAATCAACATGTACAATGTTCCAAATACAGGATGAATCTGTGAAGTGATTTCTCTTATTTTGAAATAAATAACCTTTATACTGGCATGTGTCAGTGACCTGTGTCATTCAATAAATCCCTGAGAAAACGAAATAATCAGACAGTGAAAGTATCATGGGAAAATGGTCACATTCAGAGTGTTTTTTTTTCCCATTTCCACTCTATTATAACGGCTGTGCAGCCTCATTGTGTACAACACATTTTACTGATTTATTCCTGTTAAAGGCAGATTATTATTTTTTTCTCACTGTACAATCAAACATGGACACTGAGAATGAAGTGTGTATATTTTGCCAGGAAAGCCTCACAGAAGCAGAGCTGTTTCCCTGCACTGGATAATTACATTCCATGCAGCCGATAACAGGGAAATGTGGGCTCTCCTCTGCAGCTCTGTGCTGCACTCGTCTACATTGTTGTTAAATCATGAACAGAATGGAAGCTATTGATTGCTGCAGTTCACCAGAGGTGGCCTTTGTCCTGTCTTATGATTTGCCCTCCATTCACCTGTTGTTGAACATGGAAGATGTTTCCCTGTAAGTGCACACAATGAACATCATAAATGTTCTGCTGCTAGAGGCACCGTACTTAAAGCAGTCAATTAGAAAAAAAAAAATAAATCTCTGAAGAGTTTTACCCAAAAATAGATGCCATAGATATCTACTTTAAGCCACAGGACTGAGCACCATCAGAAAATGGACAAATAGTTAAAATATTGGAGCTTGTAACAGACAGTAGATATTTCTCTTTTGGGTATGAGACTAACAATGATCTTCTGGCTTTGTTGATTCCCCTGACATGCTGACAGAGCAGCAAACAATTGTGCTGAAAATGAAGCAAAAATGCAGGAAAGTGTAGTTTATTAAGAGTCCACTTGAGGCTGGCTGCAGTAGCCAATGACACTACATCAGGTACCATAAGAACTGAAATGCATTTTCAATTCTTATCAAAGCTAGGAGTTTTATATCTGCATAAGGGGCATAGTTGAGTTGACTGACAGGTTAGCATGTCATTGTCCTTTTTTTCTGGAGGCTAAAAGTCTGTCCCAACTCTTTCCCAAGATAAGTGCCATAACAGTCTTTGCTTACCTTGTTCTTTTACATGCTTACGTAGTGTCATTTGTCAAAAATTAAAAAAAAATTCTATAACACTTTATTTGATAGGCACCTATTGACACTTCACGTGCAATCAACAGAAATGTAGTCAACAGTGTGTTAAGTTATAGGTGCATTTTCAATTTCCATCATTTTGTAGTAATTCTCTTCTGACCGTCATTGCGCTTTTGTGCGATAGATTGTTGAGTAATATTCAGCAAATTATCAGTGTATGGTCAACTTCTTCTAAGTACACTAAATTGATCTGAAAACCATAAACATACTAAGCCTTTGTAGTCACGAGTTAGGAGTATCAATTTAAAGTGAAAACTGCGGACAACAGTACAACCCACTGTTGACATTTAACCAAATATGCACGGATAGCATGTCAGAAGGTGGACTATCCAAATAAAGTGTTACCGAAAAAATCTTATCCTGCTGACTTTTGACAGTCAAATGCTTCATAGATTGTGAATATTTTATGTGAAAATTGAAAAAAAGAGCTGTTTCTTTAGCTGCTTGACTTACACCTATCCTCTCACAAAGGTTTAAAGAATAAAAAATAACTTAACATTCACCAATTTTGATACTTGCTTTTTTATGTCTTGACAAGAAATCAATAAGAATTTCAGTCTATTTTATAAACATTTAAAAAATCCTTGGAGAAGCTTTAAGATGCAAAAGCATTGAGTGTTGTAGTGAGTGAATTTTCAGTAAACTGTGCAATCTCAGTTTTTTTGATATTTATTTTGATATTTTATTTGACAGATAGATACGTACATACATAAACACATCCATACATGCGTAGGAGCTTCCATAGTATGACTGTGGGTTGCATAATCCTGGGTTCAAAAGACATACATTTAGGATAATAATTCCTCTTGTTGCTTTGATAACATTATAACATATTTAACCTAAAGTTTGATGTAAAATAACCAAACATTTGATGTAACTGTATCTGTATTCTTTGGTTAATAAGGATAACAGCATTACAGTAAATTTGGCAGTTAGTAGATTTCTGGGATTTAACTGTCTTACACTCCCATCCCATCATGACAAGATAAATGCAGAGATGGATGGTGGGAAATACTCAGACGTGCTCAGTGCCAAAACTCATCAATGCTTTCTTCTCTGATTTTATCTACTCTGCTTTATCATGTTTGAGCTCATCCAGATGAGGAAATTGTAAATAACCACTGATTCTTCCACCGCTGGCTAGTTGACAGCACAGTCTACAATCTTCCAGCTCAGTGTTTATTTCATCTTTGAACCAGACTGACCATAAACACTTTTTTATTTTCCCTGACAATCCTTAATAATGTTACTTCATGACGGTCAGATAAAATACGACTCCCACAGGGAAAACATGACACCTGACAGGTATATAACCTGATGTATGAGTTGAACCCAGCTCTATGCTGTTACATGGACGGACAGAAACATTATGTTGGAGATTAAATAAAGCTCCTCTCCCCACCCTCATCTCGTTAAAGCGTTTTTCAGAGAGATTCTTGGGCTGAGTGTAACTCCTCTTGGAGAGGAAGCACAGGAGGTCGCTGAGACCTCTTGCTTCCTTAACCCCCTCTTTTATCGCCCACACCTACACCACCGCTGCAGTCCAGATGAGTGTGTGGCCAACAAGATTGGACCCTCTTCTCTGCGCCTGATATATAGTTTCATTCAGGTGGACAGTAATTCTGTCAGCTCTGTGTTAGATGAATGTGTGTCTGGGCCTATTAGCAGCTGCGGCTGCAGAATTACTGGCTGCCGTGCCCTTCAGTTTACACACAATATGACAAGAGAGGGGAGGTTGATTTGAAAACACACACACCCATCCCCCCAGAGTGGAGCAGATGTGACCAGGAGAGGTGAGCGGGTGAGGGAGAGGTGAACAGGCTGATGAGGTTGAAGAAGATGCTTGTAAATACAACACAACACGCAAACAGATGTAGCACCAAAACATCAGCGTAGAAAACCTACAAACACCGTCAAGCATCAGTTAAAGAAATGATCTCCTGCAGGCTTAAACTCGTGGTTATTTTAATTTATTTGTAGAATAATCAATCAAATAATCTTTCAGCATGTCAGAACTGTTTGAAAAGGCCAATCACAATGTCCTACTCTAAGTGACACAAAGCATTTGTTTTTTGAGGAGGCAGATTGGACATAAGGCCAATATAGAAACAAGTGAAGAGGTGTAGCTGAGGCCAAAGGCAAGCCACCTGGCAGTCACAATACACCCATCTGTCAGTCAGACCAGCAAAAGCCTCTAATTATGGGTCATTATGCAGAACTTGTAGCTTAATTAATCAAAACGGTTAGGTTACATTTCAATTGACCTTATCACAAATGAGTTATAGAGACCAAAACAAGCCTTCAAACACTCTTAATTTTGTTGCAAAACAGATATTTTAACATGGGTCCTTAGGGAATTCCTGGGCTTTTGCTGCCAGCCTCAAGTGGACAGTGAAGGTACTGCCATGTGCCATATTTCACCATTAGATGTTGCTGAAAGTGATTTCTCCATAAAGACTGAAAAAGAGGTACGGATATTTGATGGCTTCCAGTTTTCTTCACTGCTCACTTTCCATGAATTTTGCTAAATCAGAATTCCCAACTTGTCTGATGTGATGATTAACACGTCTTTTGAATCATGTTTTTTCGAAATTACAAGTTGCTGAATGTAAGGACCGTATTTTATGGTTATGTTTGATAGGCAAGACTGGAAAAACTGAGCTGAGAAATAAGAAGACCTTCAGAATTAAGACAGGAATCCTTAAAGGAAACCTATTTCACTCATGGTCACCATCATCATGTTAGTCTGGGACACTTGTAATGTGGCTTTGCAGGATTTACTGATCAAAAAACTTGTATATCTTGTACTGGCACCTAGGGCAACTCGATGAACTCATAATCACAATTATTTTGACAATTACCAATGATTGGACATCTGCATTACATGTGCTGATGCAACTTAAAACCTCTTGAAACCAAATACTCTTAAAAAATACAACAAGAGGGAAAACATTGTGTAGCCTACCTCTGCTCATCATGTCCATCGACTTTTCAAACACGTTTGCCTCCTCCCGCTCCTCCACCTGTGGCTGCCTGATGATTTGTTACTGCCTGTTGCCCAGCATGTTGAATATACAGTGATCCACCATTAGTCTTTGCTTTCTCTCACTTCCAAACTTTGTTTCATATTAATCCCAGCTGCTTATGATAAAGTGAAAGAGCTGTTTAAAGAAAAGGGCAGTGTTCATGTTCTGCTGTCAAAGAAGAGAAGGTTTGGGACAAAGAAAAAAAGCAAATATTGGAGTTTTTCAAGAATCTACTGGCTCGGCATATTTTTACCTCAAGACTCTATTTCAACTCTAAAATGTAGACACAAGTCTTGTCTATTGGTGTGTTAATATATCTTTCGACAGGTATTGTAGTTTTTGATCACTCACTGTTTAATGATCATGATCATTTTTGGAGTAATTTTGAGATTATAATGGGTGTGTATTGCATGGTGGAATCTTCATCGGCTAGATTGAGAGAAGTTGCATGAAACTGTCTGAAACTTTTCTCTTTCCACACCCCTCATGGCCACAAATTACACTCTACACACACAATTTTTTCCACAGTTGAAGGCACACTTGTTCTGTCTCTAACTATGTATTCATCTAAGCAGAGAGACTTACAGAATTTAAACACTGAGCCTCTAAGTGTGGCACTGTCTCTGTCTGCTCCTCATTGACGTTAATACAAACATTTTCTGAGCTAAGCAAAAGGGACTCCTGTGTGTCCAAACTATTTACTGTAGAAACACTCAAATCATACCAAAGCATTCAGGAGGTCCTTAAAATGATCACGGTCTGCTTTTTTTTCTGATAGGAGCTACGGTTTCGTAAGAATAAGCCCAAATGTGAGAACAGCACAGAGGCAAAAAATCGCCCTTTTTCTCGACATTTTACGGTGTGTCTTTCATTATGGTCAACCAGCCTCAGGCCAGGCCCACAGCTGAGACCAATTTACTAATAAGGGACTGCATCCCTGAATCACTTTTAGGGCAAATTGAATAACGATAAAACACTGACTCTATATCAAAATCAAAATTATCTCTGTTTTCTCAGACAAAATTTCCCTTCAGGGATCAATAAAGTTTTTCTTCTACTTCTTAAATACTAATAAACTGCACCCTAATAGGAGACTAGGAGATGGAATCTGTCATCTGTGGTTGATTACATCCAGGTAGTTTAGCATTATTGGCATTATAGCAGCAGCGTGACAACCTAGTGTAGTGGAGGGTGGCTAAACTACAGCGTAGATGCAACATTCATTTAACCAAGCAATTTTGGTGCAGATTAGCAAGGGTAATAATACTTTATTGTTAAATAAAGTTTAATGATCACATATATAGTCACTGCTATATCTTTAGGTTATCACTTTGGGGACATGATGACTTTTAAAGGTTTGCTCTTTCATACATGTGTACTGTTTGTAAAGGTCCACAGAAGAGTATTGTAAACCAGCAAACAAAAGGGGAACAGCTACAGTGAATGCACTAACTCCAAATTTAATGTGTTTGTGTGTGTATGTGTATGTGTGTGCTTCCTGAAGGTGGGAGATCAAATGAAGCTGCTCCATAACTGCTGGTCTGAACTTCTGGTCCTGGATCACATTTTCAGACAAGTGCAGCACGGACAGGAAGACAGTATCCTGTTGGTGACCGGCCAGGAGGTAACAACTCCCTCACACACACTTCCCATCAGCCCTGTATAAAACATGCTCCATTTGAAAAGTAGTTCTTAAATCTCTGAGGCTTTGTGTGTCAAATTCAATCTTAACATATAAAGAACTTTAGTTGGATGATATTAGTAATGTGTCTGCATTTATATTGAAATCACTAATGAGTTTGGGGATTTTGGTGTGTTTTTAAATGCACTTAATGCTTTACATTTACTTTTATTTGATAGAATTCCTCATAAAAAAGATTGATAGAGACAGTGCTTTAGCATTAGCAGCAGTTTAAGACTTGAACATTTACCATAGAAAAGAAAAGGAGAATAGTTTCACTCCTATAGATGAAAAGAAAAAAAATGGGAAAAATGCCCCTCACATTTATTGCTTACAATAGCCTTAGTCCTAATTGTACAATTTTTCTTCAGCGCTGAAAATGTTGACCTCCTTAGTGTTAATCTTTAAGTACCGACTTGATTCTTGACATTTGGATTTTATCTTCAAAATGTACTTTACTTTTAATATTCCTGCTTTATGCATCATATTTTTGTTTTAAATGTGACCATTCAAAGTTTACCACTCAATTGTCGATTCATAAGTCTTTATCCATATCGCACAAATTCACAACAAATGTTATCTCAAGGCACTTCACAATAAAGAGCTACTCTAGACTGTACTCTTCAATTATATTTACAAAGATCCATCATCAAGATGATATACGATTGAGCCCCATCTTGTAAGATCAGACCCACTCCTACCAGTCTTCAACCACATGAGTGTAGCACTTAGCAAGTTACAGTGGCAAGGAATATCGTCCTTTTAACAGGCAGAAATCTTGAGCAGAATCAGACTCATGGAAGACAGTCATCTGCTGAGATATGCATTGGGTAAAGAAATAGTATAGGGGGAGATGCAGAAAGAGAGAGATGGACAGAGATGACCAACAGCAACAATAGTGCATACAGACATATGGTTACAGTGCATCTAAAGTCATTTCTGGCACTAATATCAAAGGTTTCACTTAATTTTTGACACCTGTTGGATTTTAAATTTCAAGTTAAAAAAACAAAATTAAACATCTCTGACTTTGGATTTGCTTTTGGTGGGTTACAAACTAAATATTTGCCTAGTTCTGATTATTTTGATTCAGAATATCATGATAGTTATTTTTTATGCTTTGACATCTCCCTTAACTATTTAAAATTATTTTGAGCACTTTGGTTGTATTATGACATTTCTATTCTGTAAACATTGAATTTTTAGTTGACATTTTGCTCTACTCTTTGCAATTCAGCTTAGTCTTCTAAGCTTTATTTTCCCCTTTTCATAAGAAATCTCACCATTTCTTCAAATTAATCTTAGTTTTGTTTTTGACTTGGCTGTTTTATCCACCAAACAATTGAAGATTGCTTTTATTTTGCTTTAATTAACAAATTCTAACAGTTATGTTACATTTTGACTGACTTTTGCCGTGTTCTTGGCATTTAATTTCTTTATCCTGAACATTTTGACTGGACTATTTTTTTGATGCCACAAAACGGTAGACAAATTGCATTGTTTTTTTCTCAGTTCTGGCCCCATACTTCATTGTAAATTGAAAAGTGAGAGACATTGTTAGTAAATCATTCAATAATTCCTTCACTTCCCCTCATTCGTCAGTCCTCTGAATCTTAGGGGCTTTAAAAATCACCAGTTTTCTGTCCTCAGGTGGAGCTGTCATTCATCCTGTCTCAAGCTGAGGCCACTTTGTCCGGTCTGGTCCAGAGAGGTCAGGAGCTGGCAGCAAGGCTGCGGGTGCTGCAGGTGGACCGCAGAGAGGTTGCCTGCATGAAATTCCTCCTCCTGTTCAACCCAAGTGAGTCCACCTTCTGTATGCTTTTCAACACGCAGATGAAAAGTGTTTCATTAAAAAAATGGCGCATACTCTGGGGTTATTATAATATATATATTATATATTAGATATATTATTCTGTTTAGAGTATGGGTTTTCTCCTTTAAACATTTTGAGTTAGAACTAATCAACCTTTATTGACCTTTCTGCTAATAACTGTATTTTTGAAGGCTCGAACATACATGCGCATTCTGCCTCTGAGGCTTTAGAAGAAAAGAGTGTTTGGATGTAAAAATCCATCACCTTGGTGCATGGGCTGCAGGGCCATACTGATGCTGTCCTTTAGCGGAATTTGAATAGCTTGACTGACATTTTAATGGAATAAAATGTCACAATTGCAGATTATCTGTGCTACCTATTAATTCATAAGGTTACAAGTGTTTTCCAAACTGGCCCTTTTTTCCCTCCGATAAATTCACTTAATTAAATTTCTAGGGTTGACAAAAGCCAATATTAACAAAGACCTCCTCTGCTATTGTCCACTAATGGCATTCAAAAGAAGCGTAATGGATGGCTCTATCATTCGATGGCAGGACTAACATTCATGTGGCGGTTTGTGCAGATGGAGAGAGCATAGATGTGGCTTGCCCAGATTCCCAGAAGTGTTTGCTGTTTAGCGCTGGCAGAGCAGGAACAAAGAGCTTTTGAATGGTGAGAGCACTTGTCATAGGCAGAAAATATTTTCTGTCTTTGCCTGTGGCTGCTTTGCTTGCTCTCTTCCTCGTCTTCAGAGTCAGGTTTTTCGGGGGTAATTTAATTGCCCTTAAGCAGTTTGAAAAGATGATTCAGAACACTGATTCAAAACATTTAATTACTGTATGAATGGATTCTCTGAGCTGGGCTCAGCTGATGCTGAATGCTGGTCCACTGGAGAGCTTGGCCATTGTCTCGTGTACACACTCTCTCACCCACACAGCATGCACTCCCATATTTCTGACATAAAGTATGGATATAGCATATACTGTATATTAAACCTGTACTATAATGAAATGTGCTGTATAGAAGCATTGGATAGAACTGCCTCATTTGGTCTGCAAGTTTTTCATTCAGCTTATTAAACAAAAAAATGTACATATAGTGAAATTATTTGAAGAATTTCTGCAAACGAAACATTGACAATAACTGTTTGTACAACTTGAGTACAACTATATCATTTATGATAGGGTTCCAACCAAACCAACAAGTCGGGACTAGTCCCCAACCAAATGTACAACAAATCCAGTTAGACAGGTAAATGATCAAGTATCAGAGACCAACCATGAAAAAAAAATTATACAAAAGAGATTTTCATTTCTGATGGTAAATTTGGGAAAATAAAGTTGTAAATTTATGAGAAAGAAAAACTCAAATTCTAGTCTACCATTAATTTGTATGTTATTTTAAAGGGTTAGATAAGGAGAGCAGCCAAGAGCCTGAACATGTTCAGGATTGTTTACCCTGTTTTAGCATGTCAGCACAACAAAGTCGCAAGTATCAGGATTGTGAATCAGTTGCAGAGAAACTGTGTCTGTTATGACCAAGGCCAAGCTTAGAAGTAGCCTACACACCCTTTTGCAACCATTGCTTGTCCTCAGCTGTTGAGTGTAACTTCATGAGGTCATCCATATTCCTCATTTTAGTGTAGACGGCTTGCTGCTTGGCTGATACAACACCTACATGTTCTTGAAGCCTACAGAAAGATTAGCCATAGCCCAAAAGCAGGACCTACCTTAATTCTGAAAGCATACTTTTAACAAGGTGTTGGAGACATTTTTCAGAGATTCTGTTCATATTAACACAAGAGCATCACCACGCAGGTGCTGCAGATTTATCAGCTGCACACCCATGATGCTAATCTCCCATTCCCTCACATTGCTAAGGTGCTCTACTGGATGGGGATCTGGTGACTGTGGAGGCCACTCGAGTACAGTGAACTCATTGTTACGTTCAAGAAACCAGTTTGAGATGATCTGAGCTTTGTGGCGTGGTGTATTGTCCTGCTGGAAGTAGACATCATTGGATGGTACACTGTGGTCAGAATGTAGTCAGAAACTATCCACCATACCATTAAACACCACTGCCAGCCTGAACCGTTGATACAAGGCAGGATGGATTCATGCTTTCATGTTGTTTATAGCAATTCTGACATCTGAATGTCATAGCTGAAATGAAGACTCATCAGACCGGGCGATGTTTTTTAATCTTCTGTCAAATTCTAGTGAGCCAGTGCAAACTGTAACCTCAGTTTCCTGTTATGAGCCAACAGGACTTGCACCCTATTCCTAACCCATCTGCTTCAAGATTTAACATGTTGTGTATTCAGAGATGGTATTCTGCATACTTTGGTTGTAACAAATGGTTATTTGACTCACTGTTGCTTTTCTATTATCTCAAACCACTCCGCCCATTCTTGTCTGACCTCTAACATTAAAAGGCATTTTTGTTTACAACTGGATATTCTCTCTTTCTTGGACCATTCTCTGTAAACCATAGAAACGGTTGTGAGTGATACTCCGAGTAGATCAGTTACTAAAATACTCAGACCAGCCCATCTAGCACTAAAAACAAACCACGTCTAAAGTCACTTAAATCCTCTTTCTTTCCCATTTGATGCTCGGTTTAAATTTCAGCAAGTCCTCTGAACCACATCTACATCCTTAAATGCATTAGGTTGCTGCCATGTGATTGGCTGATTAGCTATTGGTGTTAAAGAACAATTGAACATGTGTACCTAATTATGTGATCTGTTAGTGTATGTTGAACACAATCTGTCCGTCTGTTTGATTTTGGTGACTTCTGTTCTCTTGTTTCTACTTTATACATGTTTACAACTTTGTTCTTCAAAATTTTGGCTCCAGTCTTATAAATTGTTGTTCATTATTAACATCATTTTCTGAGATGTCAGACTTTTTATTATTTTTTTTGAATAGCTTCAATCTTAAACTATACAACTTGAGTCCTTTTAATTTCTGGATTTATTCTTGTAGATGGAAATTTTTTCTCTATTGACACAATCCTGGGAATTTCAAACTTTAATCTTGTAAAAAAAATTTAAGTTAATAAATTGGCCATTATTGCTTTTTTGAAATATGCACCTTTTTCTCTTACAGCTGACATTTTAAAAATGATGACTCTAAATATAAGTTATAACATTATAAATTTAAGATTTATAATGTTATGACTTTAATCTCAGAATCTATTTTTTTATATCTTGTTGTGGTTCTGATCATCTTTCTTACATTCAGCAATTATTTAATTTTAAACATCAAAAATCAAAATAAACAACAAAAAATGTATTTCATTTTTAACTCATGTATGCTTCATGAGTTTAGGAGGGTCAATCTTCGGCAGCTTTATTAATGTATTAATTTTTAAAAGCAGTATTACTTCTCCATGGTATATTTCAGCGGTTGGTATTTTGGCATTAATATTAAAAATCACAATAGAGGTCTGTGTGTTTGGATGCACATTACAAAGCCAAAAGTTGATTTTGCTTCATAAAACCGATTCTCATCCTCTGTTCTATGTTCATCCTGTGTGTGTTTGTGTGTTCAGATGTGAAGCTGCTGGAGGACCAGACATTTGTGGAGGGTGTTCAAGAGCAGGTGAATGCAGCCCTGCTGGAGTACACTCTGTCCGCTTACCCTCAGTTCCAGGAGAAGTTCAGTCAGCTGATGGTGCGTCTGCCGGAGCTGCGCTCACTCAGCACCCAGGCCGAGGACTACCTGACCTACATGCACCTGAACGGAGAGATGCCCTGCAACAACCTGCTCATCGAGATGCTGCACGCCAAACGAGTGTGTGTGTGAGGGCTGCTCTACCATCACGTATTGTCTCTCTAGGTGAGAAAGTGTGTGTTTGTATGTGTGGGAGGATGTGTGAGTTTGAAGAAAAAAAATTCAGAAAAAGAACCACATTATAGGTCCTCCTTGAGGGCTTTTGCTTGACGTAAAAAGGAGAAAATGTTCTTTAGAGTTTGGGATTATAAAGCTCCATCTGTATCAAGGTAGATTTTCAAACTGAATGTTTTCATACCCTGCAGTTTCATAAGTGCGTCCTTTATAAACTGGATTTTGTACCCTGTTTTCAAAAATCTGAAATTAGGTCTGCTTGTAGATTTATATGATATCCTATTTTGACCATACATCTCTATATCACTGACATCCAAGCTGCCCAGCAAACATGCAGACTGGGAGGATGACACTTGATAGCTTGCATTGAAATCATGTTGTCAAGGAAAGGTGTGACATGTGACAGCTTCTACTTGCACATCCAGACTTTTTTCTCTGTGTAGTTTTGAACTTTGAAAACTTTGACAGGAGTTGCCAGAACATTGAGAAGACTGTTGCCAGGTGAGCAGATGTTGTAGCAACACAGCTTCACCCTCAACTTAACAAACATGGCAGCTGATTAAGCCTGAAGATTTTAAAGGTGATGATTTAGGTACAGCTCTTGTAACAGAAATGCACCTGCAGTACTCTACAGCTAAAGTACAATGTTAGTCTCTAATGTCAAAATAAAGCTTGCTGACATTCCAAAAATCCAAAAATCAACACAATTGCAAATGTGGAAACAAATTTGTCCACACCCATGAAAGAGTATTGGAAAAAAAATCATTATAATAATAATAATGATGGCACTTTGACAGTCCTAGTACCAATACTATCATTTCTATCATACCAGTATGTACTGTATAAAATCTTTAAAAACAAAAAAAAAGCCAAAGTTATTAGTCCGTCTTTGTTTTGATTTTTGAAAAAAGCAAACCTTTGGAAAATGTCATTATTAATTGTGGTGACAAACTGTGATCTCCTGAATTATAGCACTGTGTTTGTTTGACCCGGCCTTCACCCCCCACCCACCTTTCACACAGTTCTCATCAATCCATAGACGAGGAGGTCAACTTCCAGAGATCAGGTCAGAGGGTTACCGATGGCATACGTGGTAGAATCCTTCAGAAATCAAAAGTTTATAGACACAGATGAAGCATTTCGATCCAAATTTGGAATATTACAAAACTTCTGCTTAGATTATGAGTTATTTACTAGACATACTATTTTTAGCATTAATAGTATTACACCTTAGGCTAGATTTGTGTCTATCTCTACACATTTCATTTCATTTCACATATTTTATATAGATGTTAATATATCTATATTTAATTCCTATTCTTAAAAGCTTTGAAAATAGTGCAAAGAAAGATAGCCAAGTGTTGGGACTTAAAATTTGATTGTTTAAAAAATTAAAGACAAACTGTATTTTAAATTTGATGCAAATGACGTGGTTAAGAAAAGTTGGGTATGGGACAATAAAATGCTCAAAAGGCAGCAGCTGTGTAATGCTTAAAAAATACTCCCAACCAGTGCACTTCATTTGTAACAGGTTAGTAGCATGAATGGGTTTAAAAAGGGCATTCAAGAAAAACTGAGTGAGAGCAAAAAGGTCCTCAGCATGAAGTTTTAAAAGTGTTTGTGGACTTTATCAGCTACTTCACATTAAATCATCAAGAATTCAGAGAACTGGGAGAAATCTCTGTATAAAAGAGACAAAGCTGATAGCAGGTATTAGCAGGATAGCAGGTAGGCTCAAAATCACTTGATATGGCATATATACAGGTTCAAACTGTACCACGCAAAGAGGAAACCACATATGAACATAATCTGGATAAACTGGTAACTTTCATGGGCTTTGGCCAATTTAAGATGAAATGGAATTTGACTTTTAAGAGGCGAGGGATCACCCAGCTTGTTATCAGGGTACTCTACAAAAGCCAACATCTATGACTGTATAGGGGTGCCCATGGTGTGGGTAGCTTACATACATATTATGCTGGTACCCAGACAATGTCAGTTTCAGGGAAGACCTTGCATCATACCTCAAGATGATACCAGGCTATATTTTGTCTCTAGGTCTCCAAACATTAAAAGTATACATATATATTGCTAAAAGAGCAGTTAGTGTAAGAAAGTTTAAAAATTTCAACATGTTACTGGGACCTTTTTGTTTGTAAATTAAATACAGACTCTCAGTGATTTGTATACTAATATCAGATTTTCATCAGACTGTTTCCAAGAAAAAGGGGAGTCACAAGATAAAACTGCTCAGAAATGCTTTTTTGAGAAAAAAACAAAGACAGGAGAAAAAAAGAGATAACGTCATAGAAGTATGAAAATAAGAAGATAGAAATAGGAATAAATATGTTGCTTTTTTTTTCATAATGTAAAAATACATCGATCGGTTTCAGGTTCCATTATTAAACTTGTGTCAATCATAAGTAAACCTTTTAAGAAACAAGACCATAAAATATTTTTGTCTGTTTACCCTCACACTCAACACATTTAACACGCTGAAATTACAAATATTGAAGTATTTTCTGCAACATGTATGATAACTGTTTTACACAAGCCTATCCCTATTTATTTTCTTACTGTCACCAATCTAAGAACAGCAGCACTGATATGTTTGTCTGTCTTAAATATTGAATAAGACGATTGGGGAATCAGCACAGTGGAGATACTCAAAGGAAAAAATATGATGTTGATAAAAAAACACATTTTAGGTGGCATTTAAAACATATTTTGCTGTTTAAATCCCTCATTTTGACTGAAAAACTGTTAATGTGTCCAAACAAATCAGTAGCGACAGTACTGGAGCAGAAAGCTTTGACTTCATTATGAAGCTTCATAAAAGCCTTTTTTTAAACGGCACCAGTTATCTGAGGACCCTGAGTAGTTTTTGATGATTGCAGAGCTCCTGTGTGATTTAAATCCAAAATCAATCTCTTAGTTTGTCTTTTTTTATATAAAGATGTCCCTGTATTTTATGTAAACACTGAGACTATATCATATTGTAACTGACATTGTGTGTTCAGGGAGATTTTGCTGCGTTTTGCATCCATATTGAGGCAGCTCATCTTGCAGAAAAGTCTAATGAATTCCACAGTGCGGTACATTCTCAACATTATCAGATGGATAACAATGAATGACAGTTTGTAAAAGGCAACTTTTTCTACCTTTCAAAAAGCTCAGTAGTTATCATGTTGGTTTTTATTTAAAGGGAACAGACCGTGGATAGAGCCTTGACATCATGTCAAGAGAATAATGTTGTAAATCGGTGATAAAAAAAAAAAAAAACAGACCTCTCTCAAACGTCCCATGCAAAACACAGACATGAGGATTCAATTTCTCAGACTTTATTTTGTAAAAATCCAGGTAGTACTTGTCACATGCAAAAAAGAGATTTGATCTATTTACATCAAAAAAGGTTTGTGATTGCCTAATCTCCAAAACGTAGTTTGCCTTTCATATGAAGACATTTTCTTACTCAACTTGTTGCTGGGCAGCTTCTTGTGTAGGTGTCTTATTTTGAACCTGACTGCTTTTGGTTGTTTTCTATGGAAGATGAGAACGGCCATGGATTTTTCTTTTTTTATGCACTGTTATCTCATGGTAACGACTCATTATCTCATTATCTTGATATAACAATGATTGTTTTCTCATGAAAACAAACAATTTTGCCCTCCTAAAACGGTAAAACTTAAAAAAAATATCCTCCAGAGTGAGATATTTCTAAAATGTCGACAATGCAAGCAGGGTTTTCAAAGAAATCCACTCATGCGTTTTACACTTTCAATGTGGTAACATTCAACTGCCATGCGTGAATCAGACAACAACAGTAACAATGGCGGACACATTGTTAATTAATTTGTTATCACGAGAAAACAATCTTTGTTATGTCGAGATAATGAAAATAAAATCATTTGCTACCATGAGATAACGAACTTTATGTTGAGATAATGGAATAATAAGTCGTTATCATGAGAAAACAGTGCATTAAAAAAAGAAAGCTCCATTGCCGTTGTCATCTTTTGTAGTTTTCAAACAGCAAAAATGAGTACAACTCCAAATTTTCAAATTCAATTTTGACCAATTTATGTCTAAATCAGTGAAAAATGATCGAGATCGAGCTAAATCCAGACCTGTGTTACTGTGCGGTCATGAAAGGTCTCGTTTCATCACTGACAGTCTTCTGTGTATTGTATACTTTTTGAGAAAACAGTTTTCACAGCACACCAGTCACTACCACAGCAGGCCTTATCAGCCCTGTACACAGTATCAGACAGCTGACCTTTGGCTCTAAAACACTGGATTGTGTATTTGTAGCAGTCAGTGTTTCTCCTTTTTTTCCCTCTTTCTGTGGCACTTGCTGTGTTGAAAAGTTACAAACTAGACTCAGATTTATGAGAGAGACCCCCCCCCCCCCTTTTTATAAAGCACATGACTCTCAGCGATGAAGACAATGTTACTGATGTTGACTGTCACTGTCATTACAATTCGAGCAGTCTGAGTGTGTGCGTGCGTGTGTGTGTATATTGTGAAGCTCAACTTTCTCTCTGTGGACGTTTTAAACAGTCTCCATTCATGCATTGATGTGGCAGGGTCCCCCATTTTTAAAAGGTATTGTAGACAATCACTCCACCTGCCTTAACTTAATGTCTGCCTACAAACAAACTCACACGCGTATTAACACACACATTGTTGGGACAGCTGTGTGTTCTCACTTTGTACAGTATATTTATGTTGTGAAGTGAATATCTACTGCAGAAAGAAGATACCATTTCAACACAAAAAAAGTTCTCTGCTTTATGTTGAGGTTGAATCGCTGATATTGTGGAGCTGAATCTCTTGATATTGCTTTGTTTTTCGCTCTTACTTCACGTTTTATTTTCCTGTGAGTTGACAGTTCGTCCCGTCTTAAACTGAGGTGTTTCTCTCCAAAAAAGTGAAAGTGACCAAAACAATTTTCTTTAAATATATTTTATTGTAATAGCATCAAACCAATAAAATTCAGTGAAGTAAATATCCACGTGTGTGTCTCATTTTTACAGGGTTCAGTAAAACAGTCATTTTGCGGCTGTTTTTTAAGCCTCGTCTGACTTCAACATTCGCACCAGTTAGAGTCTAAAAGATTTAGCTTTACTTTAAGACAGCAGTCATTCAGACATATTCACCGCATTTGTATAACCAGGTTTGGACATTCACATGTTGTTATCATGTGTAAGTGATTTTTTCTGGCTTATATGAACATCACAAATACAACAAATTGTTTTCATGACTCCTAACTGATTGACCCTCCTCCTCCTGTGTTAGGGTCTGCACTGCCCCATTTTTGATTTTAAATGCTTAATAGAACCACTTAAATTAGCTTTTTTGCATCAAGATTTTTTGACTTTGTCAGGAACCTCCATTTCAACAAAATAAAATAAAAAATTACATTGACTAAATTATAGAATGCTCTTATTAAAATTATGGCACTTGTCGTGTTAGAGTCGCTGTTGACCCGGTAAGATCAATATCTAGTAATTAGAGCAAAAACTGGGATCACAAGTGCACTGTATTCTCATTTTGCCATGTTTGTCCCTGCACAAAAAAAACAATGTCACAAAATAATGTCACATTAGCACCACATTGTTAAAAGCATCAGGACTAGCATTATGCAGCTAATCACTACATGACTAAATTAACAATTTTAAACAAGATTTTACATAGATCAAAAGGGATAGTATTATGCTTTTCCACATTAACAACAAAAAACTACAAAGTTACAATGTATGGTGTCCATGCTAGAGGTATGCCAAGTTTCAAATTGGGAGGTAAACGGAAGTTGTCATTATCTTAAAAATAGATGTAAATTGCTGAAAACAGGAGCCTGTGTGAAAATGCAAGACTCACACAATACCTATGTAGGTATTACAGACGCTCCTTACTAATTCATCTGTGCCACTGGCAATTTGGAACGGCCAATGTCCCACAGCCTGCAGGGTGACACCCACAGTGAAGTGGTGTAAATCTGCTCCTCTGATCTAGGAATTAAACAGTGGAAGAGGCGAGGCTGAAACTCAAAGCTCTGCCCTCATCCAGAGAGGTGGCCAATCAGAAAAAAGTTGTTTAGTGGAAGGGGGTGGGCTTAAAGAGACAGCAGCTAAAGTAAAGCGTTTTAGTTAGAGGCTGAAATAATGATATTTAGATCTGAAAAACATGTAAAGCTATTAAAGAGGTATCAGAAAGGAAATATAGAGCCTGAAAAAAATGCAGGATCGCCTTCCTTTAAGTCTTGTAAGAAAACAATTTGTCACAACTTTATTCTTGTAAGAAGATGATCCAGCAGCAGGAGCTTTCCAATCTTGGAAAAAAAAACAAAAACTCTGTTGTAGCCTTAGAACTACTGTCTATATTTCTATTTAAAAGGTCCTGAGAGGAGGAGGATAGGGATGCCTTTTTATGACATACAAAAGCAAACAAGAAAACCAATGACAAGACTGACATTTTTTTTTTTTTTGTTGTAATTGCTAATGTCTAAAACTGGTGCAAGGGGGGTAGCCATCAACCAAGCAGCTAGAGAAGCAGCACCTTGTACATTTCCCATAGAATGATACACTGGACTGTCAGAAATCAGCAGGATGAGATTCTTACAAATGACAATACTTAAGCATGTAGGGGGAAAAATAAGCTAAACCTGCACAGTCCACAGGGGGTACCCAGACTGACAAAACCCAAAAGTTCCTCACAGGTGCTTTAAATGTTTTTTTATTCCTTCATAATTTCGAGAGGGCTCTATCTGACTCTTCGAGTCAAGTGAAGACAAAATATGTGAAGCCATTTTCTTTGACTCAGTGAGACAGGGGGTTTAAAAAGCTGTACATCATTATCATATATATATTTTGTTTTTGTTTGCAGAAGTAAATCTGTGAACATTTATTTGTCATGTAAATGTTTTTTCTTAGTCTTGTTAACCAAATGTCAAAATGTTTGTTGATTTTGTTGTAAAATGTGTTGTAAGTTTTCATGTTTTCATCCAGGGGAAGTCCCTTTTGTCATTTGTGATTCGTGTGTGTGAAGAGGTGAAAAAAAAAGGTTTGTTAGGATTTTTTTTCCCCTTTTTGATTCAGAAAAGGAAAACAGTCTAAAGGGAACACAACACACTCTCTGTATTTTATTACATTTTTAAAAAATGAAATCAATTGAACTTTAAAATTTTTTAAAACAACTTTTTACAAAAAAACAAACAAAAAAAAAATCCTATGAAAACTTGTAGTTGGAAAGTAGTTATTTGGGAGAAACTCTGTGTCCATGGATGGAAAAAAAAAGTCTCTGACAGTGTCCAAAGTCACTCACTACTAACTATTAGAGAGTGAATGTTGTGATTTTTTTAGAACGGTCTAAACAATGAATTGCAATTATTATACCTTATATAATGCACATACTGTATTCCACAATGTGTTATGAAAACTACCCAGGAATATATACCATAATTCACTGCGCTGGAAGGAGGTAGCTGATGGATGAGATGAACATGCCCAGAAAAGTGAATATTTTGTGTCAGTTTCATATTCATCAAAATTTGGAGCCATCTCAATACAAGTGGGCCAGCACTGCTGATCAAGCATCCCTTCAAATCACATTACACAAAACACATTAACACACACTGAATCATGGTGTCAATTTCATAACTATCCACCTTCGTCTGCCGCCTAATCGAAAACTGTGATATCACCTTTACCATCCTGTGCATTGATATGGTAATGGGGGTCACTGTGTTCACTAGACATTTTTTCAATGACGAATTCAATCGTCCCAGTTGTCTTAACTAAATCAAACTGTAACATTTTCAAAATGTCAGACAAGTTTGGTGAACAAATACAAATACACCTCAACAGTGTTATCATGTTTCACACAGAACATTAAAAAGCAATCTCCTGGGTGAAACTCCTGTATCTGACCATCAAATCACAGCACAGAAATGAGCAAATCTAGCATATTTCCCATTTTTGTGAAGTTAGTTTCTCTGCTTAAGATGAATCAAATCCCCACTATGGTAAAAACGAGTGATTTGTTTCTATGCTATTATATTAAGCAGTATGGATTTGTTCTTTGAGCTGTCAACCTTATTTTATGTGTTTATGTAAAAAGCCGAGGCAGAGAGAGTAACAGCAAAAACCTCAGGGGTACAGAAAGATGCAGGCACCAGTGACAATACATTTAACACTGGTAAGGGTCAGCTGTCAGCTCATATAGGCCGCCATTAGAATCAGCTGATGTACTGTTGGTTCAGACTATCTTGATCTTTAAGCATTGAAAAAAAAAAATCATATAAATTGAGTCGAGGTAATGTGGATTAAAAAGGCAGATAGACAAGTCCATTGAATCATTCCACATCCTTTTTGATAAAGCAGGTTTTTGTTAGGGCTTCAAAATGCTGGGGAATAAATTAAACTAAAAAAGGAACTTACGTAAACTACCTTTAAAGAGTGAAGACATTCTGGAGAAGAAGGAAAGCACTTCATGGAGCTATGCAGGATCAGTTTATTAAGCAAAGTTTTCAAATTCCTGCTGATGTGCACTCTGTAAGGACGCCGCAGTGACGAGCCAAGATCAAAAAAAGTTCTTACTCACTATTATTTATAATTTGAAAGCCGGAAGCCTCAAACATGGCTGCCAAAGATTCATCTTCATCACCCAGTTGATCAGTCGGTTTGTCATTTTATTGGCACGCAAACAAAAACACATAAAATGGAAACATTGATTTGATCTGGGAACAAAACACAACAAAAACTGGACCTTCGTCCTTCATGTTTCATATTCTTCCACTTTCTCCTTTCATGCTTTGCGTACATGTGGTTATGTGAATGTGTCCATGCATTTCTTCAAGTCGGATGTGTGTATGTACTCCTTTCCTCTCTTAGCAGTGCGGTGCATGTTTATAATGCTTGAGTATCAAGATCCACTCCTTTCGCAGTTCAACAGCCTGTGGTGAAATAAAGTGAAAGGCATTAGCTACGACTCAGAGCGCAGTCTGATGTTTAATGATTTTGCATTACAGGAGTGCGAGTGTGTTTGTGCACAAAAGAGAGAAGAAGAAAAGAGGAAAATGAAAGGCAGAGTGAGAGAGAGAGCAGGTGTTGAAGTGGTTAATGGCTGATCGGGTGAATAGCCAGTGCTATCCGCTCCTGATTAAGGGAATGAACTTCTCTTTTGTCTCGCCGGTCAACAATGAACATCCAGCAGCACTCAAACACCCTCCATCAGGCGTTCTTCACAGACGTCTAAACATTTGCTGCATCTATCGCAAACTTCTGTCAACATACTGTCAGGCAATTTAGAGCTATTGACAGTGACTTAACCCTGCTGAAGATCTGGGACCATCTGTGGGGTCTGTCTGCACATTCAAATCAACAAAAGAAACAGGGCCAGTTTTCACACAGGCCTGATGCTGAACACTGTGCAGGTAAATGGAGACAATATAGGGAAAAATAAAACCTCTATTCGCTCTCCCCTCTTGGGTCAGTTCTTTGTTTCATCTGCGAATCTTCCCAACATCTGAGTGCGGTCTTTTCAGGGGCTGTAACTCCTCGCACACTTCTCTCCAAAAGGGTTTAAGCATGCTTATATCGGAGTCAGTAAACAGAGGCGCTTTGCACAATAATAAAGGATTTAAAAATGGCAGAAATATGACTACTATTCCGTGTTTACTCCTGCTTTATGTAGGAGGAGAAATTAAGATAAAGCATAAAATACTCAGCACTCATTTCACGCTAAACTACCATTTTAGATGACCTCTGTTAGCAGTGACAAGTGCCGACAGGAATATGAGTCTGTTCATTCAGTCAGTCAGAGTGAGAAATTCTGATGAGAAAATATGCAAATGCGCGTTTCTTTTGTCCTCCAGGCAGCTTCGAAGTACACCATATGCATTAATAAAAAGAGATAAAGAAAAGGTAGATCTTGTGGTATTCCAAAGATTCCTAACATTAGGTTACTATGAGCAGAGGGCTCAGGAGCAGGATGGCATTAAAACCTAAAGGCAGCGAGCCGTAATGGTAACTTTAATGTTTTGGAAGTGCAAAGGTCATGGCATTGACATATTTTACTGTGTGTGTGTGTGAACACATTTACAATTCAAAGCTCTAGTTCACAAAAGCAGTGGGAGATCAGTGCAGCCTCGGGATGCAACAATTTGTAAGTGTGGTTGAAAAAGTCTTGATGATGAATTCGCTGTAGTTTAATTTTACACTCAGATTGAGTTGGTAGTGTCATTGAAGGTGTTTTCATGCTGTTTATGAACATAATTTGTTTTCTGGAATTGGTTTGTTGAAAAGGTGAGGCAACTCAAATCCTTACTATAGTCCCTGAGAGTGATACATGGAAGTCAGTCGGTACATTTACATATTATTGACAAAAAAAATCAACTTATTGCTTTAGTCTAACTCTACCGGACTTTTAACAAACATGTAAACACATTAGTCTGACTGAAATGGCAACAAACCAAACTTCTCAAAGTCGGACAAACAAACCAAGATAATTCGGTAGGGGATCGATTTTCTCTTCCATGTATACAACTCGATTGTACTTGAACTGGCCTAAGCATTTGCGCATGCTTGAATGTTGGCATGCTGAGCCTTGTTGAATGAAGTTGTACGGCAGGACTGCTCTGGACTACAAGACAACCTGATAGTTACAAGGTAAAAGGGGAAGGTTGCTATCTTTCATAGTGGAGGCGGACATGCTTCTGTCAGTAATATGATTCTTGCCCGGTGCTTGCAAACTGAGACAAGGACAGGATCCAATCAAATTGCCTAAACACAGTCAGTGACTGGTGAGCAGCATGTAAACAAAACTGGTAAACTTGCAAGATCTGCAAACCAGATTTTGCTTGTCGCGGTAGCAAGACATTAATGCATGAGGATCTGTAATGCTCAGCTTAACGGTAACCATTTTTCTTTTGCAAAGAACTGACTGAAATGTAATTATAAAATTAAATTTACAAGTCACAATGAAAAATCAACCAAAATATAATAAGTAAAGGCCAGTGTTATTGTCGTAGGCATACCTGATGGTTTGTACCCAGTCAACTGGACCACCTGTTCAATTGAAAAAGCATAGACAGTGCTCAGCCATACTTTAATTTTACCATCATCTGATGACATTGCAGTAATAATACATAGATATTAGACTTACTTGGTTTCCTGATGTGGATTTTAAAGAAAATGTCACAAAGCTCTCCTTTCTGAAGCTCTCTGAAAAACAAACAAACAAAGAAACTTCTAAACTTAAATCTGTGTTTTTCAACTCATTCAAGAAAAAGAAATGCAAGCAACACAAAAGCCATGAAAAATTCACCCAGAGAAACAAAGAGCAAACATCATCGTCAGATAAGATAAGATAAGAGCTTTATTGATGCCCACAGGGGAATTTCAATTTCAAGATTCGAAGGCTGATCCTAGATTTCACTTCAGCATTCAACACTATCATCCCTCAACACCTCTTACAACCCTCCTCAGTAACAGGACACAAGCAGTGCGGGTCGGCAATAACACCTCGAGCAACATCACAGGAGCCCTGCAGGGATCCAGTCCCCTGCTCGATCACTGTGCTGATCCACGACTGCACACCAACATTCAGCACCAACCATATAGTGAAGTTATCCAATTCAAGACTAATGCTGTCTCATACAAACCACTCCAACGTGTGCATCATGTGCAGCCTGCAGGTACAGATTTGTTATCATGTGCTTAGACTGCTGCCAAATTGCTTAAGTTTTTTAAGAGACCAACTCTATGAGTGTGCAGCTGTAATTCTCTTTCTCTCTTTTTCTTTCTTCTGTTTGGCAGCTGTCACTTGACACAACATGTCTTTATATTAGTCTAATGTCCTCTCTTGAATCAACAGTTAGGAGAAACATTAAACAGTATGAGAGATAAACTAAAAACACAGCTGCACAGACAGATGACCTGACTAGACACTTGTTAGCAAGGCTTTTTGTATGTTTTAGGGTACATTTGCTTCTTTAAAGTACTGCAGGATACCATGGGACCAGATTACCACCCAGCCTAGTTACTGGATTGCATTCTCACTAGAAACACACTACTCCAAGGTTTGACAGTGAACAAGCAGAGACAGTCTTTTCCAGTCACTCTTGACTTAATTGTTTTGTTCTGCATCAAAATACAAATCAGATACTTTCTTTTGAACAAATTTCAGAAAAATCTTAAGCAAATGTAGGCGAATGAAGCAAAGCTGGTCTACAGGAGGCATTTGCATATATTTGTTAGTCCCTACCGTTCATGATGACCAGTGATGTGGAGGTGGAGCTGGGGGGTCCAGAGGTCTCACTGGTCTCAGGGCTGGAGGGCGTCAGAGCGCCTCGGCCCCACGAGGTAATGGGCGCTCTCTGGGATGGAAGGAAGCTGGTTGGCTGTGAGCAGTTCTGAAAATACACCAAAGTGCGTCAAACTGATGAATTCAGCGTAAAGAATAACTTAAGTGTACGGGTCAACTGCATCAAAGAGCCGCCCACATAAGGGGAAGACTGCAATACAGTAAAATCAACTTTTATGAAGAGAAAATGTCTTCCTGTTCTCTTCTGATGAATCTGATCATTGCTATGCACTTTTTACTCACTCACCGTGAAAGATAAGGCCTTCCTCTTTTCTTTGATCCTCTTTATGGCATTCCTCACCTAAATGAGAGGCAGCATTTACACCCACTGGTTTGTCCAAAAGGCTGGCAGCCTCACATACCACACAAAGACACATTCTGAGATTCTGCCGCAGTTACGGCCGGCAGCAGCACTGACAATGGGCAAAATGCCTCCTTACCTCACTGTTGTAAACAGCATACACTAGAAAGATGTACAGACCCTGTGAAGAGGAGAGACGCATTAGAAATTGTCTGTGAAAGGAGAGCGTGGAGCAGAATCAACGCCATTTATACAGCTTTTACTGACAATATCTTCATTGAGTCCATTTAGTACACCACTCTGTTCTCTGTCCAACTCTAATAATTCAGAGCTAAGTACTTCTTCATGCTCTCGATGCATCAGGCTTCTGACTCCCTTTTTGGCAGAAGCTCCAGTTAGATCCAGCAGGGTGTGGCTGGACTGAACATTTAACTGGATCTGTCTCATCTTTTACACTGTTTTCCACCTGTTTACTGCTCAGTATTATGGACTGAGTATTGAGCTTCACAGTCATTTAAGCTCCTCAGGGGTTAGGGTGAGGGTTAGGGTTAGGGTTAGTATTGTCTGATACTGTCAGGTGTGCTGTTGAAGTGGATGCTTCCAACAGTCTGAGTAAAAAGTCTATTGAGAACAGATCTTTGCATAGTCGTTGAAATGCTAGCTCTGTTTATTCATCCCCCCAAAAATGGATCTGCAGGTACAAAAACAGTCAAAGGAAACAAAAATACAAATATTTATATTTCTTAACATGCCATTTGTAAATCTTTTTGGTAATTTTGCAGAAAAATCCATGTATTCCAGACATTTGAGTGAGGGGCACAGAATGACTGTGTTATTTCCATCCTTTCAAAATAAAAGCATACAGTGAAACCTCTCTGATCGAGGGAGCTGGGGCTGAATTGCCAACCATTTTGACTGAGAGACAACCATGTGCAATTTTTAGATTTTAGATTTAGTGTTTTGATAATAATCCTTCAATGGAGTATTAGGGCCACATTAAGAATTGAAAAAAAAAAAAAAGACTTCAAGATAAAAGTCGTTAACTTATGATAATAAAGTCATTACTAACAAGAATAAAGTCATTACTAACGAGAATAAAGTCATTACTAATGAAAATTAAGTTGTAATCAAGTAATTACTCACAAGAATAAAGTCATAATAAAATTATTACTTACAAGAATAAAGTCGTAACTGATTTATTACTTATGAGAATAAAGTCGTAATGAAATCATTATGATACTTATGATAATGTGGTGCTGATGTGCCAAAAGTCGAAGTATGTCCTTGTTTGGGAAACCTGTATTGAAGTTCATTTTCACGAAATGCTCCGTGGCTCTTATTTCAACAACTGTCATCTTAACAACAGGTTAGAAAATAAAGACTATCATCTCATAATTACTGATTTTAGTACGACTTAATTCTTGTTAGTAATGATTTTATTATGACTTTATTCTCATTGGTAATGACTGAATTTTCGTAAATAAACTACTTTCATGAAGTCTTACATTTTTTGTCTTAATGTGGCCCTAATACTCCATCGTACAATCCATTACTGGTGGTCACTTTATTAATTTTTGGTCTTTAAAGTTTTAGTCTATTTTTAGTCTATGAAAAGTCAAAAAGCCCAGATCATGCAAGTTCATTAAAAAAAAAAAAACAATCACACAAGATCTGTTGGCTAACTTTAAACTAAAGGAGCAAAATAAGACACATTTCACAAGAAACACAACAAAGATAAACATCTGTTTTACAGTTAAAAAATATATATTTTTTACTTTGTTCAAGAGTCAAAACCCCTAAAGTCATTTTCAGACATGCTCTTCTGAAAATTTCTGGAAAGTTCAGGGCAATTTACCCTTCTGTAATATCTATACAGTCTCACTGCGACTGAGTTCATGAATCAAGAGAGAAGTTCCACTTCAAACGCGGTCTGCCTATGGTTGTAAGAATGAATGTCACAATGAAACCCTTCTTCTTTGACTTTGCTCTCAGACCAAAAGGCTACGTTTGCTTCTCATAGACGGATATAACATGATGGTATAAGGCCAACGACAGAAATACAGTGGCCATAGTGTGGTTTGTATACGAACCTGCACCACTTTTACTCACGGAGCGTGTAATGATTTTAAATCTAAAAATACAACCAACAAATCTCGACGGCTTGCTCTTTGAAGTTGTTACTGACAGATGAGGAACCTCTGCACCTTTTGCTGGATATCATTATTCAGCCCAACAAGCTCTCACTCACTCTCTTTGCCCTTAGACTGTCTCCATCATACTGTACTTTTACAGACTTTTGAAGCAGCTTAGCAAATGAAAGTAAACGCAGGAGAAGTGCTGGCCTCTTCCTCCTACCAACACGAGGAAGCACTCCTACTCCTTGGCAGTGTTATCTGCCCTCAGCTGGACACTGGCAGTAAATCTAAATTAACTAGCAGCTCTGTGGGGGTCAGTCAGGGGCCAGCTCGTTTTGATTAATTAAAGAAGAGCGCAGAGGGGTGGGAGAAGAAGAGACAAGGAGAGGGATGCACAGTGTGGATGAAATGTAAAAGAAGAAGAGGGACAGTGTATGGAAAAATGTTCAATGTGTAAACTTGTCTGGGGGAGGAAGTAACTCCTGTGATATCAGGGGAGGAGAGCTGGAGGTAGATGTGGTATGACCTGTTGTTCACACACTTGAAGAAAGACTTTAAGTCTTTATTCTGAGGGGACAGGAAATCAGAGAGTACAGAAAACCAGGGCAGAAAGTGGGAGTGACATCCAGTAAAAAGGCTGCAGGTTGGAATGAGACCTAGGCCACCCCTTGAGGTCTATGATCCATGTACATGACACACATGATTAGACCAAACAAGTTCCTCGTATTTATAGATTTTATTCTCTATAGTATCATAAGATGATTTAGAGAATCAGGAGAAATTTCTATACAACAGAGACAGGACTGCTGAAACCAGCACTGGGTGGCTGTGATCTTTAGGCAGCACTGCATTATATATGACTCTGAAGTGTAAATCACTGCATGGCCTCAAAACCCCATCCAAAAGCATTTGTCTATGAACCACACCTGCAAACATTTGGGTTATAAGATCCGTGGATATGAGCTCATTATAAGAGTATTTGTAATTTTGATTGCTCATCCAAATAAGTCTAAGTGAAGCTTTTACTTTTTTTGTTTTGTTTAAACAATAAAAAATGGTAATAAAAAAAATAGCTACGATATGCCTTGAACTTTTTAGTCCACTAATATATGGTGTTAAAGTCTTCATATGTTTTACATGCTCTACCGTATGAGGCTCTCTGAACATCTGTGTGTGCAATACAGCACTCTTATCTGAGGCTGCCCTGAACACATCACTCTGAGGCGGTGCAAGTCTATCAACGTAAATACTATATCTTGCATTTGTTTCCCTTTCAGTGAAGTGTTCATTTTGCAACATACACTCCTTAAATATAGTTTACAGCTTAAACTGACCTCAATCATCCCAAAATGTAAAGTTAAAGTATCAATCCAGTGTCTGTGAGGCTCAGCAAAAACAGGACAATCTTCGGTTGTCTGGAAACTTTGGACAAATATAGTTATCTGATTCATGAATGAATGTTGACCATCCAAACTACTGGAGATTCCCGGGAAAAATGACAATACGGGAGGTGGGTGGGAGATGGGTCTGAAATACGGGAGAGTCCTGGGAGAAACGGGAGTGTTGTCAGGTATGCTGTGAACACGGTTAAACACTGCAGCCGCTCATGTTTGTTTCAACTATACTTTTTCAAGAGGAAATAAACAAAATCCTGGGGGCTTTTCTGGGTCGGTTTAAGCAGAAAACAGTTCTGTCATCCAATGAGTCTTTTCTCGAAACCACTGATAACGGGCCCTCCCATTTAAGGGGAAAGGCACCACAGTTCATAGGCAGTACCTGTGTTGGTATGGGGATGTAAAATATATATTCTGGTATATTAACATAAAAATATATTCTGGTATTTAAAGGTTTTGAAGCAACACACATTGCTATTCCACAGTGGCTTTTTTAGGGGAGGCATTGCATAGTTCAGCACGACAACACCAAACTACATTTTGCATGCATTTAAATAGCCCACCTCTGTAGTCGTGACTGCAGTACTGTGTTGTCATCCATTAAAAACAACAAAAATTATGACAAAGAAGACCCTGAGCATGAAGCCACTAAAATCCCACTATTTTATAACACTATTTTTTTTTTAGGATTATTATTATTTTATACATTTTATTTTAGATGTTATATTTATTGTCCTAGAATTATTTTTGACTAACTATGGCATTTTAATGACAAGCAAACCCATGAATTTTATTGTATGTCTTTGGTCTCCTGGTGTTGGGGTCATAATAAGTAATTTTTTATTAATTTGCATGCAGTTGTATTTCTGTGTGCAGCCCATAGAGGTGCCTTTAATTATATACCAACCTGAAATATATGAAAAAAGTGTGTCTTTATTTACCTGGAATGCATTAAGAGCAATAAAGACATAGGCGACGACCACAGAGAGATGGACGAGGACTCCACACAGCCAGGTCAGCCCCAGGACTGGCAGCAGGATGAGGACCGGACGGGTCACAGCCCTGCGCACACAACACACACAAACACGAATCATTGAAAATAAAAGTGAATGCCTGTCTGTCTTGTTAAACCAAACTTTTTCCTTTTGTTGTTGGAACATTTTCTGATTCTTCACTTTCTGTACACATTCTCTTTGTGAACTGTTTTTGAAAACATCGACATATAGATTGGTTGAAGGAGCTGGCAGAGTGGAGTTTTCAAGGTATTTTAATGACATTTTCTTCTCAAATATGTCCTCCTTGAGTCTTCATCCAACATATCTGCACAGCTATAGAGTTTACCCCACCACAGTCATCCTCGGTTCCTTTGCAATCATCCCTTTCAATGATACTGTGCTTATACAGCCAATAACCATTTCATGGGGCAAAGCAGAAAAGGTTGCCTTTGTTCAAACCACCATTGTTGTCAGACTGCTGCACCTGGGTAGAAAGATTGAGTTTTAAGACTGCGCTGTGTCTGCAAGGACAAAGGCAGCACCCACTTCCCTCGCTTCCCTTTTATATTTGAATGTCGATTTCCCTCTAATCTCCTGAATTCACACGGCACACTAGAGCTGGCACAGGCGTCTACTTTTTAGTCTGTTTGTGAGGGAATGGAGAGAGCCAGAGAGAGGAGAATTGGAGCTGTAGCAATACCACCAGAATAAAACAAACGTGCAAAAAATAAAGTCTGCCGCATACTGGGTTGAAGGACACTTTCCCAGTCTCTTCACAGCCATACGATGTTATAGTAATGCCTTCTAATTCTAGTGTTGTGACCTGTGCATGCAGCTCTGAAAAGACACATTAGTGTTCAAAATTCTGACAGAAAATGTCCCTGATACACTTCAATCCAATTTAAATCAAGACTAATATTCTATTTTAGGTTCAAGATGAAAAAATGTTGAGCTGGCATTGCACTGTACATACACTCACCGGCCACTTTATTAGGTACACCATGCTAGTAACGGGTTGGACCCCCTTTTGCCTTCAGAACTGCCTCAATTCTTCGTGGCATAGATTCAACAAGGTGCTGGAAGCATTCCTCAGAGAGCTTGGTCCATATTGACATGATGGCATCACACAGTTGCCGCAGATTTGTCAGCTGCACATCCATGATGCGAATCTCCCGTTCCACCACATCCCAAAGATGCTCTATTGGATTGAGATCTGGTGACTGTGGAGGCCATTTGAGTACAGTGAACTCATTGTCATGTTCAAGAAACCAGTCTGAGATGATTCCAGCTTTATGACATGGCGCATTATCCTGCTGAAAGTAGCCATCAGAAGTTGGGTACATTGTGGTCATAAAGGGATGGACATGGTCAGCAACAATACTCAGGTAGGCTGTGGCGTTGCAACGATGCTCAATTGGTACCAAGGGGCCCAAAGAGTGCCAAGAAAATATTCCCCACACCATGACACCACCACCACCAGCCTGAACCGTTGATACAAGGCAGGATGGATCCATGCTTTCATGTTGTTGACGCCAAATTCTGACCCTACCATCCGAATGTCGCAGCAGAAATCGAGACTCATCAGACCAGGCAACGTTTTTCCAATCTTCTATTGTCCAATTTCGATGAGCTTGTGCAAATTGTAGCCTCAGTTTCCTGTTCTTAGCTGAAAGGAGTGGCACCCGGCGTGGTCTTCTGCTGCTGTAGCCCATCTGCCTCAAAGTTGGACGTACTGTGCGTTCAGAGATGATCTTCTGCCTACCTTGGTTGTAACGGGTGGTTATTTGAGTCACTGTTGCCTTTCTATCAGCTCGAACCAGTCTGGCCATTCTCCTCTGACCTCTGGCATCAACAAGGCATTTCCGCCCACAGAACTGCCGCTCACTGGATATTTTTTCTTTTTCGGACCATTCTCTGTAAACCCTAGAGATGGTTGTGCGTGAAAATCCCAGTAGATCAGCAGTTTCTGAAATACTCAGACCAGCCCTTCTGGCACCAACAACCATGCCACGTTCAAAGTCACTCAAATCACCTTTCTTCCCCATACTGATGCTCGGTTTGAACTGCAGGAGATTGTCTTGACCATGTCTACATGCCTAAATGCACTAAGTTGCCGCCATGTGATTGGCTGATTAGAAATTAAGTGTTAACGAGCAGTTGGACAGGTGTACCTAATAAAGTGGCCGGTGAGTGTATATTGTCAGGGTGGTTCAGCTCCTCACTGTTTGTGACTCCTACCATCCAGGAGCGGGTTTACTTTGACATTTTTTTGTTTTCCTCCTGGCTTAAAAACCAAGAGATACATAACTTGTCATAATCCCCCTGTTCAGATCCATACACCATGTTTTAAATAACAGTCATAGCCTCACCCTCTGATAGCAGCCTATGAGCTCCAATCTACAGTATTCAATCTGGTCCAAAACTTCACCTGTTTGAATCATAGACTGTACATACTGTGGACAACTTGATTCCACCTTCTGCCAGTATACGGATTTGAAGCCAAAAAGCTCTCCGCAATTCTGTTTTTTTTCTCCACTTCCTGAAACCAACATTGCGCAGTAGCATTGTTCGCACTCAGCGGGAGAGTCGCTGTAATGACACTCGGCTCGAACAGCGTATCCCCCCGGGTGAGCTACGCAGTCCTTGCATGCCCATAGGCTGTATCAGGTGTCAATCATAGAAAACATGAACCCCCTAATAACTTTTAAAAATGGAGCTTCACAGAAAAAAGAGGACTTGAGCACAAACCAGTCTTATAATCACTACATGTCAACATCACAAGCAGGGAGGAGAAAAAACTATATTCTGTGTCATAAATTTCTAAAGTTTGTCCACAGCTCCATAAGAATTGCTGGAGGAGGCGGGATTTATGACCTATACTGCAGCCCGTCACCAGAGGGTGCTGTTCTCGCGGTGGCTTCACCCAGCGAGGAGGCAGACAGAGTCCATTCTATATACAGTCTATGATTTTAATTTTAATTTTATATCACAGTCACAGCGCCCCCTATAAAAAGAAGCTGTAGTTGCGGTAATTTACTAGCCTGGCTGGGCCAACCTGTTGCGTGAATCACTTGCCGTTCCTTCTCACAACAGTCAGGACTTCGGCCCATTGGGAGCGTGTATTAGCGGTCAGAAAATAACTGGGCCAATCAGAGACAGTGTTTCCACTGTTACCCGGACAACAGGGAAAGACAGCCCCTGATTGGTCCATGTGTAGATGGTGACGTCTAACATATGCTGCGGAAATTTTCAAAGCGCAGTTCATTAAGAACGCCGTTAATTCTGCAGTTGACTTTGCAAAGTCGGCAGAAATCTTTTATATCTGACGTCTTGTTCTGTGAATCTAAACAATTTCTGCTGACTTTGCAAAGTCAACTGCAGAATGAGTTATCAAGTTAGATACATCTTAAAAACTGACTCAAAAGGCGTTAAATCATGACAAGCTCTTAAGGTAGGCAGATCTTGAAGACGTGAAGCACTTGATCATACTCAGAAGTATGAGGTTATTGAAAAAAAAATCACAATTATATATATTTCTACTGCGGTGTCACGAAATCCCTAGCACTTTTGCATTTAGAAAAATTTGTCAGTTTTAATAAATAGAGCTCAATTGACTTATGAAACAAATATGTATGTATGCCAAGACTTTTTGGGATAGATGAGTCCAGTATTCAACAAAATTCAGTGAATTCAGCTCTATTTTGAACTATAATAACATAATTCCAACAATAAGTTTAATGGATCTGGGATATGGCGAGGTATTTAAATAAAATAACCCAGAAATAGAGACATGAGTAACTAAAAACAAATGCAGACATTGACAAATGACTTCTCTTGCAGGGTTCCCTCAGCAACTTTTAGTTGAACCACAAATCATCCTCTTCACGTGAGAACAATGTATCAGGTTTTTTTTGTTTTTTTTTTTTGCAGTAATGTACCGTGAAAAACTGCTACTTGCATACAAAACTATCTTATGACTGAATTTCTAGGAATGTTAGTACAGTCAGCTAGTTGCCATAGCAACATAAATACTCTTGATACATAGAAAAGGGGAAAAAATATGCTGCTCAACCTTTGACAGGCAATCATGTAGTATGTAGAAAACACTATATGAGTGCGGCTGTAAGAGAAGCAGACATAGAACAACTCCAATAATACTGTTTTTTTCTTCATGCCTATAAAACCCAAGTGAAGACCAAACTGTGTGCAATACATTTTATTTCAGCAAGTACTGTGTGTATTCAGTGCCTTATATCACTCTTTGCTTTCAATGGCACACACCGGAAAGCCACACTGTGGGCTGAAGGATATTAACCTCCATTAACACGAGTACACACTGTAGTTTAATTCAGATTCACATACGCCATTCAGCGACAACAATTGGTTGATTCACAGCTAAATGTAACCCCGTGACTTGCAACAACTCCACCTGTTTGAGAAACTTTTTGCAGCATATAAGCTGTAGCAAATATTGAGTTTGTCCTTAAAATTACCTAACATTTTAATGAGGTATCATTCTGTTTCTTATCACCATTTCTTCTGAGTTAAGAAAGATCAATATATCAATCCTCAGTTATTTGAGGTCTCATGAGAGCCTGTTTTAAATAGCTAAAAAGCACTGGGCCAGATAAATGCAAAACATGATGACTTAGTATTCAACTGGTGTGTTCCCTTCCATTAATTGAGAATGAACGCCTGCCACCGCCTGTAGTCACATTAACTATTAATTAACATTAATAACAAAATATCAGCATAGAAATCTGAATAATATAAAACAAACTATAAATACATAGCAATAAAATTCGAATGGGATTGTAGGTGAAGACTGACAGAAATTGAATTTGATTCATTATATCTTAACGTCTAACTCAAAATAAACAAGATATTTCAAAAATAAACAAACAAACAAATGTGACAATGGAACAAAGGCTAGCTTATACAAACATTAATATGACAGGAGAAACCCTTTTCCTGCATCCTCTTATTTTGTCCTTTTTTTCTGCCCACAACCCTGCCCTTCTATTTTACAACACTCAATCCACTTCACCCAAGCAGTTATTCATGAGTTCATGCCCTAGTAATAGGTCAGTCTTTCCATCCAGTTTTCCCCACAATGCCAAATCACTGTGCTGTGTTTGAGACACAACTGTATGATTAAAATTAAAATAGATGGGCAGCATTTTAAAAATTTGCTCCCCATCTCTCTGAACTGGGAGTTTATGATCCCTTTATGATTTACATCTTTCAACAACTTCATGCCATGTCTGTAGTGTCTACTCTAAAATACACAGGTTTTAAAGATTTGTCGCTAATAAGACAACATATCCGAAATTGCCATTTAACTTGATTGGAAGTCACTGAAGTTGCAGTATTTCTGTAAGATGTGGTGAAAAGCAGAAGGAGGAATGGGTTCCTTTTGGCAGTCAGAATTGTGTTATCAAGGCCCTTTAACAAAGCGCAAGGGTGCAAAAAAAAGAAGAAGAAAAAAGCCTGACAAGCTGTCCTTGGTTTTAAATTTTGTTTGGTTTTAATGTCAGAGGGTTTAACAGTTACTATTCTAACTTTATTCTCATGCATCGTGTTTGAAATGCCGATCTTGTTATAAAACGTCTACAAGAACTGACTGCCACAAAACTGCTTGTGCAAAGACAGAATGCGAGTTGCGGTGAGTGACAAACAAGTGAACACAGACTCATACACATGTGCACACTCATTCAGTTGTGTTGGGACCAGGTGTTGAGCTGATAAGCCCTAAACAACTCCCACAGCAGACTCCTGAACCTAAACTCCAAATCTCTCACACTGCTCCTATTGACTGTGGCTGCCTTGACCAAGAGGTAACATGTGTGTGTAAGTGTGTATGTGTCTGTGTGTGAGACAGAGACAGAGAAGAAATGGGCACATGGGAGAAATACAGTTACGAAAGAGAGAGCATAGAAAACAGGAGGAGAGAGGGAGGTAGAGCAGCCACTTTATCTCACCAGGTGAGGTCAAAGGTTTGCATCTTTGATGCCGAGCTTGGACTGAGCATCTTCGCACGACGGCGAGCGCTGGAAACCGTCACCATGACAACCCGACACAGCACAACTGCATTGACCTGCAGGAAGAGGACAATAGCATCAACACAGCTTCCGGCAAAAACAGGAGACACACCTCTGCAGACCCGCTGAGCCTTGTGCTCACTTGTAGAAGGGGGAAAGTTTCCGTTCCTTAACACACCTCAGACATCTCAGTAATGAGTATTCAGCTAATGCAGATTTTTACAATTTGAATTTTTACAGGCCATGAGAGAGAATGATAAAATACAGGAGCAAAGACAAAGGTAAAATAGAGAGTTTAACCCCCATCTGTGAGATTTTAACTATGATATACTGATAGTTTGGAGGAATAAGGAGACCAAGAAACATGGAACAATGGAAAAGCTGGGTTTATTTAGTTGTCTGTCACATTGGTAGGCATTGTTGTTCATTTTTGTCTCATTATCCCTCTATTTTTTATTTCTCAGTGTAAAGCTTGTTGTTGTTGGAACAGTATGAATAAAGTAAAACTTAAGTATTATGCCACTTTAGACTGACCAACGCCAAAAGATTTGGAAATCTAAGATGTTAAAAATTGATGACAAATAATGACAGATTGAACAGGCACACATTAAAGCTAACATTTATAATCAACCAGATTCTACACTCTCTAAACTGGGAATTTTTAAACAATCTCATTGTCAAATGTCGCTTTTAAGCGAAAAAATATGACAGATAGCAGGATGGTTGTCAAGCCAAACATGGCTAGCTGCTAAGTCCATCAGGATAACAGTTCCTGTTCGAATCTTCTCCTTTTTAGTTTGATCATGCTATGTTTTACTGGAAATGATAAGAAGATATGTGTTGTTTCTTCAAATCAACAAGCTGCTCCTCTATTTTATGTCGCTTAGCTAGCTTAACACTACATGTTTACCATCATCACTGTAGGCGTTTGTTGTGCGTCCCTCTTTGGCCAGTTTGCTTCTGATCGGCCATGACTTAATTTTAAATAACAATCTACAGAGTGTATGTTTAGCTTGGAGTATTACAACTACAGCGTGTGACATTGAACTGAAAAAATAAAACAAAAAGTGTAGCCTGTAAGATAACATACCGCCAGGACAAATACAACAGGTCCCACAAAGGCCCAGATGGTGTCATTCTTCACATTAAGCCAGCAGTGACCATCTGCCTTGTACTCGTCCACTGATGCTGCCAATGTTACACCCACTATTACAACAGGTAGTCCTGAAAAACAATACATATGAAATAAAACGAACTATGGCAGCAGTGTGAAAAACGAAAGAGGCAGCATAGTTATAGACATATTTATAGAACAATGACTGCAGTCAGCACAAAACAAGCTATTTAGTCTGTCCAGTTCTCTTTTCTATTTAGTCTGAAAAAGAACATGCAGTTAATCTTCACCGTGAGCCCAGAGGAACACCTGAATGCTGTTGTGCTTATTCACACACTGTTCTCAGCCCATGATACGACAAAACACAAAGTCACCGAAGCAGCTGCTGGATGTTTGTTAAAAAAAAAAAAAAAAAAGTGGGTTAAGGTTGCAAAACTTAAAAAAAAAAAAAAATCCCATCACATCCATTGCACAAAGTTTGTGTCACACCCAGAGTGACAGCAGGTAAAAAAGGAGTCAACAAAATAAGACAAAAGCAGAGAGAAACATGGACACCTATTGTCCTAGTTCCTCGTGTCACCAGAAAATACTGTAATCAAAAGAATGTCAATTTGAAGCATTTGATCTACCTTTAACATGATAAACTTTGGAGTCGGTCAGGATGACTGTAGTATAGGGTGTTAGGCAGAGTTAACAATCATTCTAACCAGGTTAAGAAATTAAGATGTTGGTCTCTGCTGACATATGGTTTATTAAAACCTTTAAAAGGACCCAATTATTTCTAAAAGTAACATTAAAAATTCTTATTTTATGTTTCATTAATTCATGTATCAATTGGTAACATACAAATAAAATGTTTATGAGAAAAATTGTTTGTTAGCCAATTAGATTTTTCTATTTCTGCTGTTGCTAGGTAGAAAATACTTACTTCAATTGTTAGTCAAGCAATTAAATCACTAAGGGGCATGTTACAGAAGTTTATTAGGAGCACAATTTTGGATGACATTGAACTAACTTACCAGTTAACTAGCAAGTTCAAAACTAGCTTTATCCCACAAAAGAATTCATAAACCGTACAATTCTTTGTCTTAGTTTTAAAATCACTGTCCAGGACCTATTTGGAAGCATGTTTCAGACCATTTAGAGTCAATAAGTACATTAAAAAAATTCAGAAAAAGTGTGAAAATTTATTTAAGTGTCAGGGTTACATTGGGGTAATGTTGAGGTATTGGGATTAGGGTTAGGATTATGGGATTAAAAGATTAGAAAAAAAAAACCCTTACCCAATACCCCAACATTACCCCAATGTAACCCTAACACTTAAACTTTTTTTTTTACATTTTTCCTAATTTTTTTTTGTACCAATTGACTCCAGATGGTCTGAAACTTGCTCCTAAAAAGGTCCTGGACAGTGATTTTAACCCTAAATCCATAACCCTAACCCTAACACTAACCCCAATACCCCAACGTAACCATAACACTAAAAAAAAAAAAAAAAAAAAAAAAAAAAAAGAAATTTTTCCATTTATTTTTATTATTATTATTTTTTTGTACCAATTAACTCAATATGGGTTAGGGTTAAAATCACTGTTAGGGTTATTGGGTTAGGGGTAAATAAAAAGTTGGAGTTAACTGCCAGTCCTCGTTTGTGTAGGTATATTTAGACAAAAGCCTCTGTCCTGCCACTGTTTTCCCTCTGTTATCGCCTTAAATGCCCCTCATGTGGTGGAAAAACTTGGTCCCACTTCTTCTCAAGTTTTCCCATTTTGACAGGACAAAACAATCCCATCCTGAACAGGCAATGCAAAAGGGACTATTATAAACATTAGAGTCAGCATGATGTAACAGCCAGTCTGAGTGTGTGTGTAAACGTTAATATGAATCTTGTACTGTTTGTTTTTGTGCCATGAATTTCATGCTTCCACAATGCACGATCATACAATTGATTAAATAAAAGTTGGTTTCATTTCCTGATTGTTTAATTAACCCTAAAATGCTCTTTAATGGTGCCATTTCTCATGATATAATCCTAATAATGAGAATGTTTCAGGAGAGTTTTGTTCTTTGTCAATGGTCTAATTTCACAGAGGACTAGATCCAGTCATTGTTGAGTCATAGCAGTCGAGTGAAGCTGCCTCCCTGTGCACTCCCCACCCTGCACGCCCCCACGTGAACTCCCCATCTCTCCCTATCATCTGTCTGAGAAAGAGGAGACAGGAAAACATCCTAACAGCTGCTGAACCCAGCAAAAGAAAATTCCACTCTCAGCACACTTTACAAGTGAGAAGTACACATGAACTGTAAATGTCAGATTATAAAGACAGACTTCTGACTTTTTAAGCACTGGCACATCATTTTTACACTAAGCTAGAAAGTTTTCTCAATATGATATCGAACTTTGGTGCAAAAATTACAGCTTGTTGTAGGTATTTTCATCTAAATAACGTGGGCAATAGAAGCAAATCTGATATCACAAGGATCAGTCAAAACTTTTTAAATCACAGACATGACAGCCTCATTTGAGTACGCAAACAAAAACAGTCAGCTCTCGAATAAAACTTTACATTTAAAGCTGTTAATTTATTTCTAACATGCCTCCAAAATCGGTTCAGTGTCAAGCACCATTGTACATGTGCAAAAAACATTTCCTTGGATTTTTAAGTTGGTTCATCCGTTTCCCATGTTTCTTAGAAAATCTGGTTGGGTAACAGGAACTGCTGTGATGTCTTGAAGATTGAAGCGAGTACAGTAGAAGGGTTTCAGATGGAAAAGTGATTTCTTTTTTCCATTCTTAAAGTCTCTCTCACTTGTTAGACATAATTCAATTCTGAAATATAAAGTTACTCTGGTATATCTGACTCTTTAGAGGTGCTCACCAAAGAAAAAAGGTTTGAACTGTCCCTGGTGACCACTTGTCATCTCCTAGTCTACAAACAACGGGTGTGAATCATGATATTGACAAAAGTACCAAGGCGCTGATTGGTTAAATGTTGAACAATGAAAACACATCCAACTTTATAGCTCTGTACTTTTTATTTGTTCCTCATGACACGAGGTTTGACTTTCTTTGAATCCCTTATTCTTTGGCTGAGGTTTCATTCACTACCCTGCTTCCTACAGCAGCTCAACTTCTTGGTTAAAGCCTGGTGTGAGAATGGTGGGGCATGTGCAGAATGCGTACGCCAGTTTGAGGTGAGATTGAGTTGTTGATATAGAAAAGAAAATCAATTAAAAGCCACATTATCCAGGTATGTCGGTCTGACTATAAGAAAATAGATTTAGAGTGATTTCAGTCGGATTAATGTGTTTATCTGTATTTTATAGATTCATTTTCAGCTGTACTTGTGCAGCAAATTCCTTTTTTAACAACATGTATACGTACTGATTTAATCCAGCAATGTGCAGTTTCTGTGCAGCTTTGTTGCTCTTTTTAGTCACATCTATTTTCGTCTTCTAGAAAGGGGAGTTGAGCACAGTCTATGGTTTAATATTGATGTTTGAGGTCTGAAATATAATCAACAGCACTTTCTTGTATTTCTGATTTCTGCTGCATAAATTGATATATATTGCTGGTTCTCCATCATGGTAAGAAAATAAACAGATTGATGGAGTTCTGATGCAAATCTGCAGGTAACCAAACAATTGAACACAAAACTGACCAGGCACGAAAGTGAGAGAGCAGATTTTACCCCAGCCGATGATGTGGTAGAGCTTCATCCTGCGGTCCTCGCTGATGTTGACAGAAACCACTTTGCTCCACAGCAGCAGGCCCTCCACCAGCATCCAGGAGAAAGAGGCCATGAAGAAGAGGTGGAGCAGAGCAGTCACCACAAAGCAAGTCGTCTGCAGGATTCATGAAACACAGATTCAACAACATGACACAGATAAAACAGCCGTATTGATTTGAGTATTTCGATAGCAGGGGGATCAAAAGTTTATCTGGAAATATCAGGATATCGCTAAGCTATATCTTATCATTAAGGCTTCATTGTAAAACATATATCTCTTAATGTTGGCTACTTTGGAGAAAGAAGGTAGCAAAACTCCAAAACGAGAAGTAAATTTGTGCAAATCCTTAAAAATACTGAAAAGTTGCTCAATAAGTATTGAATCAAATGCTGCAATTCAGGTCCTTAAAGTGTCAAGGGGGCTTTGACAGTCTGTCTTTAACTTATTCGGACTTTTTATAGCAGATTAATCAGCAAATATTTTACAGCAGCACAAAATAACAAGAAAGTCATTCATAGAAAAACTAAAAATGTGGAAATCAATATTCAGACTGCACTGTTGAGGCTGAAAACATCGAGTCTTTCATTTCTAATTTTGCCTGGCTGTGCAAGACATACTCATCAACAAAGGACATATAAAAGCTGAAAATATGTGTTTATGCATGTTGCTACTTGAGCCACTTGAAAAAGAGTGAAGGCAAAGAGCAGTATCTACATTCTTATGTTATTACGCTGGTACAATCAGTAGTATCACTAATTTGCAAATTATAATTTTGGATTTTATTTTCTCAATTCAAATTGCATAATTTGATTTTTTGGGGGTAATAATGGTGGTTTTTGGAATTCAAATCAGAAAAAAAAAGACGCCCAAATTATCCAAATCACCCAAATCACCCAATAACTAAAGTTGTGATACAGTCTGGTTCAGGTCCAGGTTCAGACACCCAGATTACAAAACATGAAAAGACATGAAAAAATTAGGACTCATGATTTAAAAACTATTAACATGTACTACGACATGATAAAGGTGCAAAGGGCTCCACCTGTATACAGAGCTTATCCTTACAATACTGAGTCTCAACACTACAGCTGTCTCCTGTGACTGGCTTTGTGCTGTGCTCTATATTTTTGGTCTGGAAAAGTTTGAAAGGAGGGTTAAAAATAGGTTTCAATTTTTTTTCAATATTTCATCTACTGTCACACACTTCACAGATCACATCACAAATGAACTAAAAATTTAAGTCTCACCTCATCTGCAGAAGCCCAGTCGCTGCACATCAGCAGCAGCTCAGCGATGCCTAGAGCAACGATCAGGTTCTTATGAACGGTGGTCCGGTCTGATTTAGGGACACTGCACATGCAAGTGCACGCACACACACATACACACACATCCATTCATGCAAACACATACACACATGAAATAAATTATATGAAAAAAGATCTAACATTAGTTCTAAGAATTTCTCAAAAATCTTTTACCCTGGCACTGTTGACATATCTGCAGAGCACAATGTTCTGTTTTTTTCTCTGTTTATTGAAGTGAATCTGGCAGGGTTTTATAAAATGCTTTTCACCCTCTGTGCTTTGCAGAGTGCACTCTGTGATGTTTGTGACTCACCCCACAGCGATGAAGAGGATGAAGGTGAAGAGGAGGCCACACAGAGACACTCCACAGCCGATGAACGTCAGCACCTGCAGAGCTTTTTCATTCTCTGGGCTCCTCTGAGACACACATACACATACAAAAGCATACACACACGCACACACACACACACACACACACACGCGAGCTGTAAATAGCAGCACAAACCGCAGATGAAAGCTCACGCAGAAACACAGGGTGACAATTGGAGAGAGAGGGGTTTTACCTGGGCTTCATAAACCTGGAGCAGCAATGCAAAGTTGGTGGTGTGGTTGCAGTAGCACACTGTGTGTCCATACTGTTTGGACACTACCTCACAGCCTTTTGTGTTCCACCACCCACCCGCCTCAGGACTAATCAGACACAAACAGCACAAACGGACATATCTACATACTCACAGGAATGCAAAGAATGAAAATATTCTCCTATCTCAAAGTAATGCAGCATTTATCAGATTTTTGAAATGAAACAGGTGAGGTAGCTGAGGTATTGCAGAAGAATGCGAGACCTTCAAATTGCCGGCACTCTTGATGTGTGTGTGTCTGTGTGTGTCTGTGTGTGTGTTTATTGGTACTTACGCAAGCTCAAAATCCCAGAAGGCACACACTGGATCATAAACAGTGCCAATGGGATTCTGTGGAGTTAAGAAAAAAGAAACAAATAATGAATTTGATGTATAATTGAGAATAAAAACTGGTGATTATGTTGATGGATTTCAAAGACGGCCATCTTTTACTGACCTGCACTCTGTGCTGCAACTGGAAGCGAACAGCTGTGCTGACCAGCTGATCGTCACCCAGCACTGTGGTGGATATGACTGAAGAGCCCAGGACAGTGCCCAAATACCTGGTTAATGTAATCACATATACATGTTACAACAATAGACACAAACACTCTTATTCAGGGCCTGTTTGCATTGAATCTAGTTTACTAATAACCCCAATTTAAATCCACTTTGCATGCTAGTACTTAAGTCCATCGTATCTCAGATTCAGAATATATCTTATATGCAATGTATGCGTCTGCAAAAAGTTGCCAACTTTACAGTAATTCCACTGTAGCCATTGATTAATATTCAGTGACAATTAGCCAAGACAACCAAGGCACTTTTTTCACCATCTGTTTTGACCCATGACATCTCCTGGAGTGGCGGCCATTCTTCTAACCTGAGTAGTAAGTTGCTTCTAAAACTTTGAGTCGTTAGTTTGAAGCCCAGCAGAAGGAAACCAGCTAAAATGCATAAAAAAGTAAAAATACCACCCACTTAAGTTCATCAAAAGATCTGCTAATTGGAATGACTTTGAGCATTTGAACTTAACACATAAAAACTGTGCAAAGAAAACTTATCAAATGGTGAAAGTGAGAAAATGTATTAAGCTGGAGAAACACCAGTCAGTTAAGTAGATTAGTTTGCAACAGGGTAGTATCATAACTGGGTAAAAAAAGAGGGAGACTCTGTGAGGTAAAGGGGGGAAGAGACGCACCACTCTGTGAGAGAATGTGTCATCAAACAGTTCAACAAATTCATAATAAGCCAAAAAAATAGTTTTTGTGAATGTCATTATCTAAATAATTTAAGTAGATTCAATTAAAGAGGGACAATGATGAAAACCAACACTAAATGGCTCTTACATCCCCTCAGATGGCACTGCATCCAAACCTGTCATGACTCTGTAGTGGAACTCACTGCATGGGATCGAAGCACTTTCAAAAGCTACTGTCTGTGAACACAGTTTGTTCATAAATGTGGGTTTAAATTGGACCATGCAAAGAGGAAACCGTATATAAAGATGTTGTAAAAATGCTGGTGTCTTCAACTGGGCTGATTTATTAATTTAGACCTTGTTTTTGGAAATCACAGACTCCATATCATGCCCTCTCTGAGGGGCCACCCAGCTTGGTATCAGTGCAATTTAGAAGCCAGCATTCCTGGTAATATGGGCATTCATAAGTGCCCATGGCCAGGCATGGGTAGTTTACACATATGGGATGGCATCAAAAATGCTGAACAATATAAACAAGTTTTCAAGCAGCAATTGTTTTCAGCAAAACAATACCGAACAATACCAAAGGTGCACAACTGATGTCAAGTGGATTAAAAACAATTAAAAACTAACCATGTACTAACTATTTTCAAAGGTACCAGCCTCAAATTAAACATATAATTTTTTTTTCAATATAAATATTCACACTTTATTGTTCTGACATTTTACTGCTTTTAATGAATCATGAGTTTTAGTGATTTGCAAACCATTCGGTTCTATTTTAATAAACATTTGACAAAAAATGTCCCAACTTTTTGGGAATTCACACCTGTGGTTGATCTGTGATGACATTAAGTAAGAATAAATTTGACAAGACATGGACCAGACAAATAATGAACCAAAAAGAATATATGAATAACAAAAAATAGCGAGCCCAAAGTGCCTTTGTGACCCCGTTTTGGGAAGATAAAATCACTTAACAGCATGACACTAAGTTCATTGAAAAAAGATTGCATTTATAGTCTGTTCTACAATCTGTGCTACACTGTGACAGGCTTTGTGATAAAGAGGCACACATTTCTCGCTGCATTTGTGCTTGTTTGTTACCTCTGGCTTCCGTCAGTGACAGTAGGAACCATGGTGATGTTCTCCTCAGGATTGAAAAGAGGCCGCAGAGAGCCGTACCACGTGTTAACCAACGTGAGCCTGTGGAAGCCTGCAATTTCCACACAACAGCGAGAAGAGGCTTTTTCAGTTTGTGCTAGACAAGACAGTCAAATAAAACACTGAGAGAAATGTAGTTCATTTAGGATCACTTATTGTTCATGTTGAATAGTTGTTGCAAAACCCAACAATGCACCTCCATCTGCACTTCACTGCAAGACCTTGGGAGTGTAAGTAGGTGAATGCGTGCACATTCACTAGTCTGCTGTTAGCGCATTGTAAGATAGGGTTAATAAAATGTGTCTTCTCTCTTGGCAAACAGTGTTGTGCTAGACAGGTCTGAATAAGTAATTGCTCTAAAGATGATTGAATCTTGCAACATTTTCCTACCGTTGTTATGGAGATCCTGAATCTTCTGATGTGGGATTGAAATACAGTCTATGTCGGTGTGTTTCTCAGTTTCGGGCCCACAGAAACTCAAACCTTTGGATCCCTCCTGCAGCCTCTGCTGCTGCACCTCCAGCTCTGAGGGAGAAAGGACAACAAAGAGCAGATTTAGAGTGTCAGTTCAATCTAATTTTAATGTCTCATCAGTATTTTTGAAGGGATACTTTTTAATCTTTCAGTTGGCTCTGATTTTATTATGATATAAACATGTTCACACACAAGTGTTTCTCTATCTTATCTGTTCCTCTTCTTCCATTCAGTGACTATTTCATGTCTGCACTGTCAAAACAAGAGTAATAGTTTGAATTTCAATCAGAATTGATTAACCTGTGCAGGAGCCACAAGTTACCATGGCAACTTTAGCATAATTCTGCTGGATTGTACGAAGGCAGGGCTTTATTTTATTGCGGGGAATCTACTTGAGATTTTTCTATCCACACTGAGTACAAAGCCAGGTAGGAAAAAATTTAGTCTTAAGAAGTTCCAAGAGCATATCTTTACAACACAAGAGGATAGTTCATGATGTGCTAAGTCAGAATTCATTATTTGTTAAGTCTTTCTTTCTCAAATCCTCCCCCACACATTGCTAAAAATAAGTTGAACTGGGCAAAAAAAGAAAAAAAGATGAAAACATCTGATCAGATAATTCTACCAGATTATTGTTGATCTGATGTCAAACTCAAAACTAAGAGTGAAAGCTAAATTTTTTACAAAAGCGGTAACAGTCCAGTATTTTTGTTATACTCATGCTGTACATTGTAATTGATGATCCGATGATTTCTCTCAGTCAAGTCTGACTGACCTGCTTATAACCACTCTGACTGTCTGTACAATACAAGAGCTTTATTGATCCCCACAGGGAAACTCATTTGTCTGGAGTCTCATTGTCATCTGTTTATCAAAGTCTGATGGCTGTGGGTACAAAGAATCTTCTGAATCTCTCCATCCTGCAGTGAAGAGAGAGGAGTCGTCCAACACCGTTGTTGTGTTGGTCCATCAAGGTGTTATGAGTGGATGATCCATGTTTTTCAAAATAGCCTCCAATTTCCTCAGTGTGCATCTCTCTAACGCATCCTCCAAGGAGTCTAACTTGATTCCAACCACAGAGCCAGCTTTTTTTTTACCAGTTTGGATTATAACATTCATTAGTGTGTTTAAATGAGTGTGAATATAAAAATGTTTTTGTTTACTTGGAATGATCCTTTTATTTCTACAGAAAGAGTGGGTCTCCTTCAGTGAGGCTACCGTTTTGCATTGACATGTTTCCACAGTCGCAGAAAATGGACGAGCTAGTATCAAACACGGTCTTTGTATTTAGTGAGTGGCCTGGCAAAATTCACTCGTCGAAAGAAGAAGAGAATGATTTCTGTGTGCGGAAGAATTTGCTGATTGATGATTTCAATAAGATAAGATGAGATAAGATAAGAAGAGTGGTAACAACCTGGGTCATACTTCCCACTGAGCTATAGATGGCTATTAGACGTCTAGTTTTTTCAGATGGAATTTAGACGTTGCACTTTAACCCATTATTTGATAACTATTTATTTCAAAAAGCAACTGTGAGTTGCATAACTGATCTTCAAGTACTTAAGCAAAATAATTATGATAGCCGTTGAGCAATATACAGTGTAGTATAGATATAGTCCAGATTTAGACTTGGTCTGAACTTGGTCTAAATTTAGACGTCTAAAAAAACTTTCATTTTTAGACCTGTGGTAGCCTGATTTTAGACCAGTCGTCTAGGCTACATTTAGACGTTTATTAGACCTCTTTAGAGCAAAAAATGCTCAGTGGGTTACGAGGCATCACAGAAGCTTCTTGACCTTTGAGACCACCATTGCTATACCCATACGAAGAAAGGACTAGATTGAATATTGAGCATTTGTTTACTTTGCACTGAGAGGAGAATCAAAAACTAGCCCAGTACATTTATCAACTCTGGTTTCTTTATTTCCTGTAAGGTGAAAAATGTGCTCTTATTTTGAAATAAAGTACATGCAGCTTATGGCACATCACAAGTTATAAAAACCTACTGTAAGACAGGTTGGGAAGCATTAATCTTCATTGTGACTGTACCCCTGAAAAAGAACTACAAGTTCTTCCGTTGTTTTGGATTCACAGTAAATCTTATGACTATCAGAAACATATGACTATCTTTCCTGCTTCTTCTTGTCATAACTCTGTTATATTGTGGGTGGCAACCAGTGTGAAGGACCAATGGCATCCCTTCCACAGTATTGCCCCATGTTTATTTCTGGCACTACATCACTACTTCATATTTTTGAAAAAGATGGTTATTGCCAGTACCGCCACACTATTACACTTCTCATGTGAATTTCAACAGTGATCTGTAAACTGTTTTATAAGGCCACAAAAGTTAAGTGATACATAACTTTTTTGGGCACATTTTGCAGCCAGTCATTCAAAAGGGAACTGATGGACCCTGACCTTGCTCCAGCATGTCATTGTATAATTTTTTTGTTATATTTGTTTGAGATATGAGTTGTTTTGTGTGTGTGTGACTCACTGATGTTGGGGCTGGAAACGGTCAGATGATCAGTCTCCCCCATCAAGCGAGGGCTCAGGTTGGTCACCATTCGGTCAATGCTTTTGACCACATCCATGGGGCCGTTCACCACCTAAAACACATGGAGCACAGGCATCTCAGCAGCAACACTCACCCAATCTGCCCCGCCGAGCATGCATCAAAGCTGAGGAAGCATATTTCAAAATGACCATTCAAATGCCAAACAATCGCAAAATGCTTTCAGCCCCACTAACTGTTTGCAGGAGCCTACACACACTCTGGTTGAAAAGGGCACACACAGTTCAATGGATCGGCCTATAATGCAGGGTCGGGTCGTGGATTTTGTCATTGTCTGCTTTGAAACCCCTGGCTCTGAATTCAATATATCAGTCTAAGAGCCAAGCCTTGGAGGCAGAGCCAGGAGCACAGTGAGGGGAGGTTTGTGGACGAGTACTGCCACAGCTTTTTCAGAGTGCTGTTCATCCTTTGAGTCTGGGCTGAGGTGGCCTTGGAGTGCTGAGAGGCCTAAGAGGGGAGGGAGGCAAACACTGAGAGAAACACAACACTTGTCATAAGGCAACCTCATCCTGTTGCACACATTAATAGTGCAGCGACAGCAGGGAATAAAAACAGACTGGGTATGGTAAATAGAGTTTGGAGGGGGGGATGCAATGCTCCAACCACGGAGAGTGTGGTTTCCTCTCTGAAATCGACTTCTTTTTTTTTTTTTTTTTTTTAACATGTACGGAGGCAGCTTTAGCATTTGTTGGCTCTGATCAGCCCCTCTCTGGGTAACTTTAAGATTTTGATGATGCACTCTTCTACTGCAAAACTTAATCTAAAGAAGCATACTGCCCTCTAGTGCTTAAGAGCTGAAATATCTATCTATCTATCTATCTATCTATCTATCTATCTATCTATCTATCTATCTATCTATCTATCTATCTATCTATCTATCTATCTATCTATCAAGTAACAGTAGCAAGAAGACAAAAACTTACTTGTAACAGACAGAAACCACGAGCAGAACCAGATTCATGTCCATCTGTTTATATCTATCTTAATACAACATGATATTCATTTTGTGAATTATAGCCCCCACATCATATTACTGTAATCAAAGTATTAATGGGTGGTACCATTCCTCCACAAATGCTGAAACAGGCTTCAAAACTCCTAAAATTTCATTTTACTGTGGTCCCATCCATATTTTTTATACAGGTAATGGCCTCTACCCACAATAATTCGAGGAGATATGGTTCCTTCAGCTTTGATCATGGCTACTTTTAACACTATTCGAATAACAATACTAATCTCAACAACTTCAACAAAAAAGGTTAAACAAAATAAAATACTAATTTGACATATGAAGTTGGTGAAACATAATAAAGAGGACAATGTATGAGAACAGCACCCAGGTTGCTGCTAATACGATAGGCAATTATAGACGGATATAGAGATGGAAAGAGCATTAACTTCTTAAAATTGTAAAGGTTTAAAAAATATATATACAATGTCAAGCTTAAACTTTAACACTCCTTGAATCAAAATTTGATCCCAATAGATTCACATCTTTATGGTGCTATGAAATGGAATCTGTGTTTTGCATAAGGGGGTTAAGTTCCTCTTAAATCCCTTTTCCACATTAAGGATAACAATTTTCAAAAAAGGGTTACTAATCATAATTCATAATTAATTTAATCTAATATCTGCATTAATTTATGAATTGATATTTTTTTTCCACTGTGGAGTAAAAAGATGCATGACGGGTAAGGAAAGAATAAAAAAATCCTGCTCCACCTCTTTGATGGCCTGCCACTTGAGGGCGTTGTTTTCACTGATGATGCTGTCTGCCACGCTGATGAAGTGCTGGCTGAGCTCTTGCACGTTTTCCTGGCTCTGGTTGGTGGCATCAGTGGGGGGTTGAGTGGGGACGTCAGCAGCCAGAGACAGCAGCTGGATGAGGGACACCATGTCTGTTGGCTGCAGTCCCTCCTCCTGGGTGTCCTCCAGGGCCTGGACAGAGACGTCCAGCAGAACAGACGCCTGAGCCAGATTGCTCAGTTCTGGTGGCTGCTGACCCAGCACTGCCTGGAGGTGGAGACACAGACATCAGTTTCAGTTCATTTTATTTGATAACACAGTTGTTGCACTGTTGGGAAGAAAATGCAGTAATTTATTTAAATGATCTAAATTAAATGTTTTTTTTCTAACTTTCTCATCAATTTTGTTTGCAAGCAAAGACAAAAAAACAAACTCTTCAGTGTCTGAGTGGAGAGCTGTATAACCAACATGGCAGAGAACCAGAAACTAAGTATTTAGAAATGAAGAATTAAATCTCAAGAAGTAAAAAGAGAGCAGAGGCAATAAAATGTGAAGAATGTGAAAACTGTCAACAAAGTCTACAACACAGCCATTTGTTAAGACAAGTTGTAGGCTACTGGTTAAAACCAGGACTACTAAGGCCTGGTTATGATTGCTGTTTGATCAAATAATTTGATCAGATTACAAATATCCATAATTTTAAACCCTCTGTTGTTCAGTGGGGTCATTTCTTAAATTATGCCCAGTTAATGACACCTGTAGAGCATTAGGCCCCCTCTTGAGAATTTCATTAATTCCTAGTACACAACATTAGACAAAGAAAATGTTGATTATGACAGTTCTTGACATATTTCGTGATTATTTCGTAAGATTATCGCTTGTGATTCCTCTGATAACACATTTAGGAACATCACTGTAATATCCTTTATCTATTTTTCTGAATGCTTGACTGCAGTGGCTGCTTGATTCTAGGAAGCTAGAGTTGTGTAGAGGGTTTATGTTCTACTGCAGCTGGACCGATTTGATAACGTTCAGCTTCTTAAATAGCACGCCAGCTATTAGAAGAATGTTGTATAGCAGATCTTTTCACCTAATGACGACAAATCAAATGCTATCAACACGACACACAGAAAGAGGTGAAATTGCAAGGAGGTAGAAAATTTTTGATCCTCCTCCATATAAAAAGTCAGTCCTCTGTCTGGCTGGGGGAATTATGTAAAGTGTCAGTCCTTACACAGAGTATGAAAAAGGATAACTCTGACTTTTCTTTCTGATTTCTGACTGTTCACTCAGAATTCTGAGAAAGTTTAGATTACCCTACTTTTTTGCTGAGTGGCTCCTATTCCCCTCAGCAACAGTGTGACTTTTTATGAAGGCTTGTGTGTTGTGTAAAGTACATAAGTTTGTCATGACTGATAGAGCAGCTAAAAACTTAGCATGCTCTGTCAACTTTACGTTTGCTACTTTCAGTACTTTCAAATGTGAAGTTTCACAGACAGCACAGTGGAAAGAATAACTTGTATCCAGATGGCCTTCCAGTTAAATACTCTTTTGTCTTTTCTTTATGACAAACATGTCAACAAACCTTTTTTTTTTTTTAAATGGGGAAAAAAATATTTTGCTTATGGTTTTGTTTCCACAAACTTATTTTTTAAGTCTGTCCCTTTTTCTTTCTGATCACAATAACTATTTTGGCCATGAGAAGCTAGAGTTCAAAATAAGACTAACAGAGTCGTGTTTTTTTTTTTTTAAATTCTTGTCTCACTTGACTATCAGGACTATCATTAAATTGAAGAACAGCATGAACTTCATGTTATGGTGGTCTGCATAATGGTCAGTAAAGTTTCTAGGATTTAAATCAACATATGAAGAACAAATCTCACCCAAGTTATGTCACTGGATCCTACATGGAAAACAGGATTTTCACTGAGAATATTCACTTATTGAGTTCAAAAATGAGGTGAAAGTGTTTATTATGTCTGATAAACAGACTGTTTAAACTATTGATTTCTGTCTTAAAGTTTTTCACTTTTGTAAATGGAAAGTTTCACATACAGATTATTTTACAGAACTTGTAAACTAGGATGGGAGGATGTATGCAGCCGATGTGGATGTATGGGTTGTCTACCTGTGATTTGTTGGAGAGCTTCATCAGATGATTCATGAAGGCAGAAGGCTGTGAGCTCTGAGATTCACTCATCTGCTTCATCTTCAGGTAACGCTCTGTGCCAAAAACAACATGCAGATGATTAATGGCGAGGTGAGACTATCTTGGAGCTCATCCTTTAGTACTTCCAGCCAGTATCAGCCTTCATATCACAGCATTATTTTCTGGATTAAACAGAGTTTAAGGCTCACCTTTGCTGCTCCTGCAGATGAATGGCAGTGGATTAGAACAATCTGTCAAGCCTAACAGTGGGAGTTGATCTGTCCAGCCCTGCAGCATCTTACAACCCTGCAGCTCCATCTGCTGGGGAACCACTGCAAATACATTCAGATTTTTCACACACGAAACAGAGATTATGAAGCAGTTTTCGATAAATTACGGAGCAAATAAACTCATCAACATCATTTTTAGGTGAAACAAAGCTTGAAAAAAAATGCTGCATAGGTCTTGCAGAGAGAGAGAGAGAGAGAGAGAGAGAGAGAGAGAGAGAGAGAGAGAGAGAGAGAGAGAGAGAAACTTGACAGAGGAGGAGTTTTTCTTCACTGCTGTATGAAGCACTGTTGTTTCCAAAGCTACCCCCACGATGCAGGAACTGTGGGAATCCCCTCCATGCATCCATCCCTCCCTCCCTCGCTCGCTCCCTCTCCGCCTTCCTGTCTCACTTTTACTCCCCCTCATTCTGACCGCTCAGTCATCCTGAAGTGTTTCTGATGGTGTCTCTGTCTCATTTGTGGTCATTCTGAATTCACTTCTCAGTAGCTACAAAACTAACACACAAGCAGCTTCCAGGAATCACTAACACTTTTATCGACACATGAACGAGTTTGAACACAAAAAGGACATTTTATGAATGTTCACTTTTACAGTTGACAAATAAAAGATGTTTAATCTCAACGAAAATGGTGATAAAATGTGTTTAAAAGACGTTTTCACATTTCATTCTGCATAGGCATGAGGCTGTAACCAATATGAATATCATGGGGTTGAGAATATTCCCAAGCAAATAAGTGTGTCTTTGGGCTTCAGACACGAGGCTGATTAAAAAAAAGAGTGGTGGTACATAAAAAAAAACAGGGATCTTATCACTTAGAGTCTTTGTTCTAAGTTTTTAATACCGTGACTGCACTGTGTTTATTCATTTTTACATTTCTGCAGCAGTCCAAACAAAAGTTTCAAGAAAAGTAAAGAATATCTGTAATCTACAAATGTCCATGCCCTCTTGTCCTTAAATCAGCAACACTGGATGGTGTCTGTGGTGTCTGACTCATATGTTGTTTTCTTTTAAGTCTATGTTTAGGCTAAATAAATAAATAAATAAAAACCCTCAACACAGAGCATTATCTGAAGACATGAAAATAATCGTTATATTTTGGAGGCACAACATACTCTTGTCTTGGTTATGTAAAAAAAAAAAGCCCTATGATGTTTTTTGTTTGGGCATCATATCGGACTGGGACTCAAATCCAATAAGTAGTTTGTCATTTGACCCATCAAACACCTCCTTCTGACCTCTATATCTGTTCACTATAACACAAGATCTATATCAAATATAAATCAGACTCAAAATCAGCTTCATTGGCCAAGTATGTGTACACATACAAGAAATTTGACTCTATTATTATTGACTCTTATTGACTCTATAATTTTACTCTAGTACTGGAAACCCTTAAGAAGTTGCAGGGATGTACTAACACTTGCAGGACAGAGAACACAAGCACTAAATAGTCAAAGATCAAACGACCCATCCTCACTAATGTGGGTTAGAAAAAAAATGAATGTCTCCTTAAAGTCAGTAAACAACATTTTGCAAAATGTACAACTGTTGTAAGTCCGGTAAAGAGTTTCTCATGTGAGGGATGTGATACATGTAAATGTCTTACCTTTTGTCTCCGTTTCAATCTTACTTTCTTAGTTAAGGTTTTTATTTTTATTATTATTTTGTTTAATACCACAGCCTCAGCAGTCAAAGTGGTGTTATAAGCTCATGAGAGGAATAATCAAAACTGTAAAAGAACAGGTCCTAGAAACTGCGGTCCTTCAACAAGAAAGATAATCAACAACATATAGTCAACATAATTAAAGTGCAAAAGAGAAATGATAAAACATCTTGTTTTTCTACCAGAGGAAACTTGCTTTTTTTGTTTTAAAAATGAAAATGTAAAATAAATAGGGTAGTTATGTTGGCAAAACAGTGGTGAAAAAGGCAAAGTTTTTTCAGAACTGTTTCCAGGTCATAAACTCAGATGAAAAATTAACTTTTATCAAACTAATTACCAGGGGGTCACCAGAACCAGAACTTTTTTCTTACTAGTTATCATGTTTGAGAAGGAAAAAGTAAAACAGACCAGGATACATTTGAACTTGGTTGAGCTTTTGAAGCAAAGCAATGACCTTGGCCTGAAAGACACTGTGTTTGCCAGCTAAATACAGGCAGGTGGACAACTGTAGACATCTATGACAGTTTGGTCTTATGACTAATTAAGTGGGAAAATGAATGTGTTTGTGCCCTCGAGAGCTGTGGAGTCCTATTTTATAATACAATATATTACTGTGCAAAGTTTGGGACCTGACAGCTTGTGAATCTTAATGGAACTCTTGGATCTGATTTCAGGTCCAGTTCCAAGTTCAACTGATTTGGACCCTGTTCAAAGTCGACATTAAGATCAATTTTCCAGGGTAATTTATTTATTTTGCATCTTTTCTTGGCTCTGTTTGCTTTCAAATCCCCCCCTCCCCAAATAAAATACAAGCGAGCTTGACTTTGCAGCACTAAGGCCAAGGTAAGATATCACCTAGCCTTTTTACATGTTAGAATTATTCAATAGATCAATCAGACGAAAAACTGGTGGCTGTTGCATTCCTGTAAATTGCCTACCAGTGTACTCTCTAAAGACCCCTTTAACCCAACACCAGGGTTGAAAAGGGACCGACTACTTATTGGATTGTTTTGACCCAGAATGTTGGGTTATTCAAATTAACCCAAATTTTGGGTTGACTCAATAACTCTTTTTAAGGGTCGAGATAACTCACTCTTCGAGTTAATTTGACTAATGATCTTGGGTTAAATTGATGCATTTGGGGAGCTTTTTTTGGGAGCTTTGCAGACCTTGTTAACCGGGTCATCGTCTTTATGAGGTAGGCCATAGCTCTAAGGGTCTTGCCTAAGGACCCAAACTGGTAGATGTAGTTCGCTTCTTACAAATGTGTCACCCCCCAGTCACTTTAATTGCCATTAGGCCTAGAAACCACGTAGAGTCAATCAAACCCAACGTTCTGACCCAATTATTGGGTTACTCTCAGAAAAAAAACCCATAATTATTAACCCATCCAAAAAACCCTCAAATTGGGTTACAATAGAATCCATTTGACCCAAGAAAGGGGGATGGATCTGATGCTCAACACGTACAACCCAGGAATTGAGTTAAAGAAATAACCCAAGAGTGTACAATCTATATACAGTATGCACTTACCACCACCAAAAGTGTGACTGTGTGAGCGAATGAATGATGTATCCAATGTAAAGCGCTTTGAGGGTCTCTGATAAAGCGCTATATGAAATCTGATGCATTATTATTATTATTACTTATTGCAAATGCATATTGTGTCAAAGCTCTATGAATGACAGGAAAAGTAAGTTGATGTGTAGGTGAGCTTACCTGGGCAAAACAGAAGGACCTGCATCTCTTTGACTGCTGGATGTATGATGAGTTGATTCAGGTTCCAGCCAAAAAGCTCTTCCTCAGCAATGGATGAACATGCATTAAGTGCAAGGACATGCCTCCTTTCCAGAGTCATATTCCAAACATGCAAGTCAGTGATATTTCCAAAAAAGGGCTCTGTGAAATTCCCACCAAATGAATCTTGATCTTGACCCAAAATGAGTATCCCATCAGCATAAATATCCCGTGAAGTGTCTGTATCTGAACCCGTGTCCTTTCTTTCTCCATCCACATAGATCGCCCAGTGACCACTGCTCCGGTGCCACATAACACAAATATGATGCCAAGCTCCATCATTTGGGAAGGACGCCTTATAGGGCAGGTGTTTCCCATGGATGATGACTGCGAGGAGGATGCGTCCCTGCATGTCCACTTGGCCTCTGAGCTGGAACTCATTTGTAAAGACAGCTGCAGCATAGGAGAAGATGGTGGACACCTCGTTCCACTCTGGGTCCCACTGAACACGGACACACACAGTAACTGATGGCAGGGCGGGAAAAGATGTGTTGACTCTCACAAAGCCATCACGGGAATCCTTTGAGAAGCTCAGAGCTGAGAACTGTGAATCTTAACGAAAGGAAAATAGGTTTTTGGTACCATGGTTTTCTAAAGTTTTATAAATTATTTTTTTACTTTCTGTATAACAACTCTAACTTCTAAAAAGCTGAGACCTTATGTAAAATGTTGTTCTAAACGGATTTGATGGTTTTCAAATGATCTAAAAACGAAATCTGATTAAATCGGTGCAAGGACAACATACAAAATTTGATGCACCAAATGTTTAAACAAGTTACAAGTCAGGACAGCAGGCAGACCAGTTTAGCATCTGGCTAGACTCTTCTACTACAAATAGGGTGACCATATTTTGATTACTGAAAACCAGGACACAAACTAGGACCTGTCAATGTGATAATGTATATCTTCAGTTTTCTTCTTCATCGTAGTGGTCCAATAAAAACATTGTAAAACAACCAGGACGGCCAGGACAGGACGTAAAAACAGGGCTTGTCCTGGGGAAACAGGACGTTTGGTCTCCCTAACTACTGAGCCATGCTTTTGTAATACATGTAGAATGTGGTTTGGCATTTTCTTGTCGTACTTTTTACTTGATGCTGCCAATTTCAAATAAGTGTAAATGTTTCATATGATGACCAAATTTTACACTATCATCATTTGATGTATCATCTTTGCCTGGTTTTTGAGAGTATTGGCCGAATGATTTGCAAATTCCTACACAGTTGTCTTAATTAGGTTTGTGGGGTGAAAGGATTGTACTTACATTGTTTTGATAGGGCCACAGGCTTGTTGGCTTCTTTGCTGGGATTCTGGACCCAGATGGGTGAGTGGAGTTGTGTTTGCTGAAGCAGCTCCTTGACCCCTTCTCGTTCCTCTGATTGGTTGAGGTTGGGAAGGGAGCTGAACTGACCTCTGCAGAAGCTGTCAGCTCTGGAGAAGGCCAGTGAGTCATTGACAAGCTGAAAGGCCCAGTTTGAAGTTAAATGAATCGGTCTCTGTTGTCCTGAGGAGTCAGAAAGAAACAACATGAAAGCAGCACAATGAAATATATAAAATGTACAGAAGACGACAACGTCCACTGATTTTTCTTTTTTTTATGCACCGTTATCTTGTGATAACGACTTACGTCATTATCTCGAGATAACAAAGATCGTTTCCTCATGATAACGAATCGATTTATAATGCGTCTGCCATTCATGGACGTAATTTGTGGGGGGCACACAGGGGACCCCACTTTTTCGAAAGCCCGTTTTGGTCCCCTGTAGTTTTAACCATCTGAAAACAATGTTACTTTACGCTATAGCAAACTGATACACATCAGGCACTAGGACCAAATGGCCGCTCAAGCTGAAAACTGGTTTCCCTTGGTTTGGACCGCCCACAAGGTCCTTGACTGGCTCTGCCACAGGCCGCTGTTTGTGTGTGATTGGCCATCCCTGCTGTCAGTCATCCCATGCCCGTCGGACTAGTAGTTTGCAAGTTGCTATTAAGAGTCAGTCCGTGAACATCGCTATTCGCCCATTCGCTATTTGCTGATGTAAGTTTACAGGAGGGCGACGTTCATTTTCCCTCCATAACGTCACATTCATCGCAGGTTTCATTTACATCCCTGTATCGGGTTTGTACTTCCATCCACCTACTGGCCGTATCGCCTCCTCTGTTACTGTGTGTGCGAGATGTGCTGTTTGCTAGGCTATATGTAAAGGCGGGAACTGAATTCTGGAATAAAGAAAGAAATCTGAGCTCAACATTGACGTTTGAATCTGCGTGTTACATCAGTTCTCAAGTCACATGTACCCCACCCACCTTTGAAATCAAAATTTTGTCCATGCCGCCATTGTTACTGTTTTTGTCTTATTCGCACATGGCAGTTAAATGTTTCCACGTTGAAAGTGTAATGCACACGTGCAGAGTGCAACACGCCCTTGCTGTTGACAACGGTGGCAGCGGCATTTCAGAAATATCCCAATCTGGAGGGCGTTTTTTAAAAGTTCCAATATGAGGTCGGCAAAAATTTCCGTTATCATGAGAAAATGAACTTCGTATTGTCGAGATAATACAAAAGGATTTGTTTTCATGAAAAAATGAACTTTGTTATATAGAGATAATGAGATAAGTCATTATCATGAGATAACAGTACAAAAAAAAGAAAAATCCATGGCTGTTCTTGTCTTTCGTAGAAATGCATTTAATATGAAATAGTTGACATTAAAAGATGCTAGTCCAGCTGTTTTTAACTGCTGGCTACTGAATGGAATTGATTTACAGTCTCACCATGTGATTCCCCCATTCTTTCAGGCCCAGCATGTGTGGGCTCACTTTCACATACCACCTGCAGAAGAATGAGTCAAGTTTACATTACTCTGGCAGTTGCTGTGGAGTTCCCTCCTGCCTACATACAAAAGCTGGAGTTTATTTACTTCTAAGATCTACAAGTAATCTGAAACTTGTACATCAGTAAAAGAGCATTTTTAAATGATCAGGAGTCAAGATGAAACACACAAATTTTTGAAATGCTAGTAAATAAAAGTTAAAAAGGATATTACCAAAAATGAGAAAAGAAAAAGTCCAGTATACAGGCCTCCAGTCATCTCTGAGCCAGTGTTGTCTCAAACTGAAATAAACTACCAGGATTACCAAGAAATAATACAGTGTATCCGTTAGATCCAGATATACTTCACTGTAGAAAAAAGTCTGTATCTCAGATAAGTCACAGAGGAATCCTCTTTCAACTGTTGGTATTTATGCCAGTTACATCTCAGATGAAGCTTGGAGTATTTAACAACAACGCAATCTTTTTTATGCATCCAACAAGTTGCTCTGAAAAAATCCCTCAAGTATATCATGAGTCATTGTTGCATTCTCAGTCATAGAGTTCCCATCTTCTTCCAAGGCGGCAGAAGGTCTTTTTGAGTAATCTGGTATCAAACTCCATGTGTGGTACGAGCAAATCCAAATCTGGTCCAGACTCCTCACCTAGTACCTCGCCTTCATAGTCCAGCATATCCAGGAGAGTTTCTGGTCTCCTAAGAGCCAACGATCCCCAGAGCGTCTGTCCAAGAGTGCAAGTCTGTCTCCAGCCTCCCCCAGATCCCCCACCCCTTTCTCTTTAGTACCCTGAAGCCATCTGCCTTTGTGATGCAAATGAAGTCACTTTTTTTAAACGAACCCTACTTACGCAAGCAGTGTCAAGCAGTTGGCACAAAGAGTTCATCAAGAGCGGCACAGCGGCGGATATTTGTACTGCTCAGGCTCTTGTTTGACAGTAAAGTTCATTGGCAGATCTGTTTTATTGCTGTACTTTCATAGTCAATTAAACATTAGTACTAGCGGTGCAATCATTGTACGGTAATCGTAAAGTATGAATGGCTTTTATAAACTTAAAATGCTGTTGTACACCCTTTGACATCGACTGTATTCACGTTACACCCGCCAAATGTTTTTCTAAAGAGGAAAACTAGTCATGGATCACAGACGTCGCAAAGTCCTCAAATCTAATCATGAACGAAAGGAGGTAGACAATGTGAAAAATTGTCAGTCTAGCAATGTATTTGATGTTTCTGTGCAAATAAAAATGCCTTTTTTTCCCCCATTCTATTTTTAAATGGATATTATATTTCAGCAGAAAAGGACAAAGAAAACACCTGCAGTCAGGCCAGTAATAACAGTCTAATAGTTGAATCAGTGTGTCATTACCCCAACCTACCCACTGAGCATTTTGGGGTCTAAAAGAGGTCTAATAGACGTCTTAATGTAGCCTAGACGACTGGTCTAAAATCAGGCTACCACAGGTCTAAAAATGAAAGTTTTTTAGACATCTGAATTTAGACCAAAAAATCTAAATCTGGGCTATATCTATACTACACTGTATATTGCTCAACGGCTATTATAATTATTTTGGTTAAGTACTTGGAGATCAGTTATGCAACTCACAGTTGCTTTTTTAAATACTTATTGAATAATGGGTTAAAGTGCAACGTCTAAATTCCGTCTAAAAATGTACAGAATCTAGATGGTTGATATTAGGTCTAAAAAAACTAGACGTCTAATAGCCGTCTATTGCTCAGTGGATGTCCTGACATTCGACGGAAACAAAATTGAAATGGGATGGTAAGCCCTCCAAGAAGCAACCATTGTTGTTAAAAAAAATGAAGCGCAAAAAAGTGCAGTTCTTCAAATATCCACTTGGGGATGCCCCAAAAAGTCATGGAATCCCACTCAACCCATAGACTGATATGGTCTCAGTGACGTCACTCATTGGTGGTGTTAAGTTCATTGAAAGCGGTCGCCATGTTGGTAGTGGAGACTCAACAGAACCTAGCATTAAACAAAGCGGGGGGAATGACTGGCATTTAGCCCCCTTGCTAACAGCTAGTGTGCCTGCCTTTTAGCCAGATAAGCAGGGCCCCTTATTTGCCAAACTCACAACTTTAATATCCTCAAAAAAAAAACTAATGATCAATTTCTGCTGTGCGTGACAAACAAGATCAGTAAATGCAATTGAGCCATTTCTATCCCTAATGCATAATTCCAGCAAACTAGTGGATGACTGTGTGAGTTAAAACGCCGCAAAGCATGAATTTTTATTTTTGTAATTTCACTAACATTTACTTTTCATTCATGACATCTATAAACAAACATGGAGTTCATTTCAATGAGCTACAGAAATCACAAGTTATCTTCCACTTCCTTATAGTTCAGCTTGAAGTTCAAAAACACATAGGAGTTCGCAAGGCTCCCAAAGGCTATCATTACACTTCATCTATTGCCAAACTACAGCATAATACTCTCAGTGAGGCTTTACACACACCTGTACAGATGGACTCGCAGAGAGTGAAATTGGACTGCTGACGTTAAGTCTTCACATCTCTAGCACCAATCAATCTGGTAACCCAGAGAAAGATGGATTGAAACAAAACCCACCATTAGTATTCCACCAAGGTACCCGCTCTGAATGTGAAGAGTTGGACAAGAGCCTGCTGTAACAAAAGCTCCAGTAGACTGAGACTTCTGGACATCGCTCTCCCTCGTGCCCAGCTTTCCTCTTGTCTATTTATCTGACTAAACAACAGCTTTCTTGCTAAAGCTCAGTGAAATTTAGACAGTGGTTTAAAAACCCTGACATTTACTTTGGATAGGGGCAGACTGCAATGGACTAGAATAAAATCATGGGGCCAACCTGCCCTCCATCCAGGACTTATACACGTGTTCCAAAAGGTGAACAAGTTCAGATTCGTTTTTTGTAGCTACACCCTAATTCTATTTTTCAGAACAGCCTCTAACACTTCAATCCCTAGTCCTCAATCATTGGCATGTCTACTAAGAAAATCACTACAGTGAAGGAAAATTGACTGTTTTATTAATCAAACTTAGGGGGAATGGTCCACAGCTTTGAAAACTTATAACAAAAAGGCCTATAATAAGTAGGCAGGATATTTTGTCAGAGTCCAACCTAAACACCTTAACATTCAGGGAAAATCTGCTTAGTTTTGGATGTAGATGAGATCATTTTTATAGAAAGCTAAAGACAGAGAAATGCTGAGCAAATGAAGACAAAAGGTGAATTATTTTTCATTCTCAAATATACATTTTTTAAACCATTCTGTACAAGTTTTAGTCTGGTGGAATTTATCCAGATTTGTTAAAAAATAATCTCCTAACTTGTTCATGAGGGTTAGTCGCTAACTACATCTGAGTGGGTAGAAGTGCTGCAAATGTGCCGTAAATTTAACTACAGCTGCCTTAATACCCGATGCTGGAATACTTTGCCGTTCCTGATACCTCTCAGGCTGTTCAGTGTCTCCAGAGTGAACTACGCTCATGTTCCTGAATGAGCCGTTCAGTTCACCATTCACCAAAATATGAGTCTGTTCAATGAATAATGAATGAATATTACACTCCAGCATTGTTGTGTTTCTCTTCAAACCTCTGTTCCACTGTGTTAAACCCCACTCTTGCAAGCCATATGTCTCTGATATGTGATTCAGTGAAAAAAACAAAAATGGCAGAAAAAAAAAGCATATTTAAAATAATGTCATGCGCTTTAATCGCGACACTGAATGTGGCGTACCAAACTAGCTGTAAACCTGACAGCTGCTGAAAATGGGGCGGTGCTGGGGAAGGTTTACTACAACCTTGGGACCGGGTCATAAAAACAGCAGCAGTCAACAGAAATGCAGAGCAAGAGATGTTATGGCATTTCCCTGTGCATCCCAGAGCAACACACTACACGGTGACACTGCTCTGACCTACTTTACAACACTCAACAATTGGAAGACATTTCTGCCCTGAAAATACAGAAGGCAAAAGTCTATATGCATGTGTACAACTTCAACTCTGAAGTATATGTGTAGAAATAAAAGCAGTTCTACCAGAGGCTGAAGTCAAATAAGGTAGTTGTGTGTGTTTTTTTACTCAAGCTGAGTGTTTCTCTACACTTTGAACCCTGAGCTCAGTGAGTGTGCTTACACTTATTCAGACTTCTTTTTCTGGCTCCAGGTCAACACGGCACTCTGCACACTTCAGTTTGGTTGATTAGCAACAGACTGAACATCCAGGAAAGGACCTTTCAGGCCTACAGGGGACAGTTCAGTACAGTCAGCGAAGCCACGTAAATTTGACATCTTTGACCCGTGTGTTTTCACCACTTTAAAGAGTTCTGCTCCTTAACGAGACTCCTCAGTGATAAAAATGGCTCTGTTTTTTTTCTAATGTGAGTTATTTTTTTTCCTGCTTTTTGCCTGGAGTCAACAAACACCTCAAATAAAAGCTCTCCTCATCAACACCCTCAGCCACAGTGAGCAAGGCTCACGTAAGAGGCCAGACTAATTGACCTCCTCTCTTTCTGCTCTCTCTTCCCTCCACTGTAACTTTGCTGCCACCGTCACCCAGTGTATTTCCATGACAACCTGGGGATTGTAAGAGCGGTATGGAAACGTCAAACACTCTGTGGGCTCGCATCGCTGCACACAAAAGGCCACTGACCTACATGTGGAGTGTGGATGAAGGCTTTTCCCAGAAGAACAGGCCCAGCAGAGCAATAGACGACAGAGAAGAAACACGGTGACAATTCCCCCATTTGTTTCCTTTTTAGTGTCTCAACCTGCTGCTAAAGTTGCAAAACAGATCTGAAATAAATTTGACTCCTTTGCCATGCTACATGGGACAGAATCCAAAAATGGAGCAGTTGTAGCCAGGGAAACACATTTCTTTTTCATACACACACGTATGTACCTTGAAGTGTCATGAAAACACTGGTAAATCATGCACAAGTAGCTGAACTCACACATTTTAGACCTTGTAGATTTCATGTCGGTGAACCTGCATGCAGAAAACGCTGGAATGCTTCCTTGTAAACAAACATTCCTGGCTGGTCAGCATTCGGGGGCCATGTTTGTCTACCCAATCTGGCCACGGCAGATAGTCTTTATGGCTGCCCCTCGACCATCAATCAGGCCCGCTACTGAGGATCTGGTTGACAGCAGTAGGGGTCACAGCGTCACCACGGAGACAGTCTTTTAGTGCAGTCGTATAAACAATATAAGCTGTTGGGATGAAACAAAGAGAAGAGAAAGATGGGGAGAGAAGGGACGGGTCTTTTGGGCTCCAGATGAGTGAGACAATACAGAGCTGAGTCAACCTCTCTCTGCAGAAAGAGGTCATCCAGTGCAACACAACGCCACCACACTGATACATGGGTTTGTCAGAAGAAGCATTTGATTTGTCTGACTTGGTGCTCAGTTTTAAAACCTCATATGTTATACTATTTGATATTTTACTGTTTTAAGTCTTAATACACAACCACAAAATCAATGGAAAGGTTAGGAATATCAGTTCAAATATTTAGCAATTGAAACGTGTTTGATGGCCCGGTAGCTAAAGCAAGCATGAAGTCTTTTCCATGCTAACATATTAAATCGTAAATGTATTGGCTACTGCAAGTTGGTCGCAATGATTACATGCAGGAATAATCTTTCCCAAAATCATTGAATGAACAGTCTGGGAATGAACCACAAACTACCATAAAAACAAGTCACTCAGGAAAGGACAAAACCACACAACTTCATTCCCACTTCATCTTTATCTTCCACTTTGGTAAAAAGTATGACTAAATGGTTGGCCTTACAAAGGGCAGCTTGTGGCATGGCACATACGTCTCTAGACACCCTGTAGGAGGCTTCCAGACTGTGACCATCACTACTATTTGGTAGTTCCATCCCTCGCCATTTTGCTGAGGCAGCATCTGGATCAGCATGTTTATGCCGTCCCTGTATAGCCTGATGACTGAGTTGTCGCTCATTAAAAGCGCAAAATACAACAACGGAGACCCTGGACTGTTGAGCAACTGAAGTTGTACATCAAGCAAAGATGGGAAAGGATTTCATCGCCAAAACTTCAACAATTCAGAACATGTTGTCGACATCAAACTTTAACGAAGTAATATTTGGAAGAAAAAAAAAAAGGAGTTAGTCATCTTGTATTTATAGTGTGTTCAGTTAAACATAGGTCAAAACGGTTTGCAAATCAATGAATTTTATTGTAATAATGTTTTACAAAACACTACAACTTTATTGGAATTGAAGGTTGTACAAATTTACCCTCAATACAGAAATATGAGGTTATACAAAGATGAATACAGTCAATATCATTTATGACCAGATCTGTTAGTGTTTAAAAAAAATGGCACTTGTTTGTTGTTGGAAATTGTTCAACTTATGGATCATCCCCTTTACAGCCACTTTATGACACAAATTGTTAGAACCAAAAGGGGCTGGACTTATAATAACTATTTATGTCAACAGCAGAGGTCAATACAGGAGAGATATTTTTGTACAATTTCCTGGTCTGAAGATGCTACAAATACAATGAAAGTGCTATGATTTCTTGTTCTAAGGGTTTGAGCTAACTTGAACCAAACAGTGCATCCTTAAACTTAATGGCTCTACCAAAGGAAGAACTTTCATAACCTAGTATTAGGAAAAACTACTCGCCAATGTTTTTAACATTGCACAGCAATAATGACTGTTCTGAATATTACAACTGATAGGGCTTTAGAGTGCATGAGAATTGTGCACACCAAACAAATACACTACCTGTGCTCCACTACTGGCCTACTGGTCTAAGCCAGTGTCGCATATACAGAGATTTAGAAATCACATGTACAGTCCCTTTTATGCAAGTCACTCCTTGATCTCTCCTTTGTGTTAACCTTAAACTAATGGCATTGCACAGTCTGCTTTCATATCATTTCTGTACCAGAGGCAGTTGATTCACCAGAGGCCTCTGCTCAGGGGTTTCAGTGGGACTCTATGTACAGCATATTCTATTGACTTGTGTTGTGAATCCTTGAGGACATGTATTGTCAGAAAAAATCTTGTCAGGGGAAACACTTGAAAATTAGAGAAAAAACAGCTGTAAAGGGACTATGGGAATGTAAACCGTGCCTGTATCGGCCCGCTGAGGCTGCACTGAATTAATGTGAAAGGGGTTTTGAAATCACATTTAAAGTGGTTGGTAGGCTTGTGTTTTCCTAATGCGTGGAGGATTTCTTTTTTTGTGTGTGTATTGGAATTCCCAAAGGGATTTTAGTTACAACTGCATAGTTTACTTCCTCTTAAAGGCTGATTTAAGAAGGAAGTGTGAAGAAAGAGCATATGCGGCACAGAACTATAGACCAGTTTTTCAATAAAATTTGACCTTTTTTGATCCATGAAATCTTTATATTTAGGTATGCTATAGTCAAACATCCCTGTGGAAATTGCCTTGAAAAGCGAATAGGCAAAAACAAACAAGAACAAGCGTTATAAAACAGCAAAATAACAACACTGAATGGTGTACAAGTGACCAAATGTATGCAGTATGTGAAATATTTGACATCTCTTTGCTGATTTAGAGATCATTTTATCGACTTCAACCAGGTATCTGACCCCATGGCTGCCTTTTGGCCCCTGGGGATGGCCTTTTGGTGCAATACAGTAACTCAAGCAGTTGATGAGACCGTTGCTACAGCCATCAGCACCAGAAGCCCCACCCACAACTGTAAACAACAACAGGCCTCGTACGCCGGCTCCGACGGGCAGATTTTGGTCAGTGTTGGAAAGCAGCTAACATGTTTGCTGCACATCACAACAACTTATTTAGGGTGACCACATTCTGAATCCCCAAATAGAGGACACGATTATACAGGGGGCGGAGTCACGGAGTCGCACAAAGCTAATTTTGATAGTTTTTCGGGTCGGATTGGGTGTCTTTTACGCGCTCTAACTCAGTAAGCCCATGTGACACAAACTCGAAGCTTCCATACAAAACCACGGACATTTGAGGGATTTTATAAACTTCCCCGGACAAAGCCAGACAGCCTGAATTGCCCCCCTTCTTCTAAAAAGAAGAGATGTCCAGGTGAAAGAGGACGTATGGTCACCCTAGTTTATTAGCTGATCATGTTTAAACTCACAGGGAAGAGTGCAGAGGTGAGATGCAGATTGTTAGCTGGCCATTCACTCTGCAAAGTCTTTATTCAATTCAGGGTTACAGGAGTAGCCAGGAGGAAGGCAATTCAGTCAGTGTCTGATGTCGTGAGACCTGAAACACCGGAGGACGAGACCTCTGGCCAATCCATTACGGACAGAAGTGGGGTGACGCAGCTCAAGGAAGAACATTTATGATCATTTCTTTATCATGTCCTTGAAGTAATAATCACCATAATACGCGGTAGTTCTGCCTTAGCATCTCTGTCTGATTGCATTTCCATGAAAAAATGATCATAGCAGAAGTCCGTAATGGCTGTTCTGAGCATTATTCGTGACTATAGAGTGGCGTTCTGATTGAGGTTTGTTTATGGCTGCTCAGACCGCTGTGTATTGCTATCCTGCGGTCGTTACTAAAGTTGGTTTAACTAGAGAAGCAAGTGGTCGGCAACATTCATCTCTTGAGGGGGTGTCTAACTCGGTGTTGCGGTGTGTATTATCCTAAATTAATTTTAGGCTGGAATATCCCTTTAAGATTTTTATTTATTAAAAGTTAAAATTATTATTATTCTTTTTTCCCCACCTTGTATTTTCCAATTTCAGGTTGTATATGTAGAAGAAAGAAGAGCTCAGTCTTATTTTGGCGCAAGAGAACACTCCATAGTCAACATTAATAGGACTAATTTGCAGTCTTGGATGAATGAGCCTTGCCAACTCTATAATTATGAGGATTTGCACCCTTTTCAAATTTTATCATTATCTTTTATGTAATTTTTATGTAATATAACATATCTATTAAGTACTAATGTAGCTTTCCTAAAATTTTGCAGTTAGAATAAAAAGAAAGGTACAAAACTAAGCACTTAAGATGCTCTTTTGTGCACACTTACATTATCCTCTCCAACAGCAATGAAAACTTCCGACTGTCTGTTTTTCCTCACAAGCATCTGTAGTTCTGCTATTAGTAAAGGTGTCTGTACTTTTTACACCTTCTGTTAAAGCATGATGTTCCTGTGGATGTTTATCAAGGACTAATAACATCTTGACTTGAGCACAAACAGACAGACACATCTGATGATAACATCCGGAGTCTAATAACGGTGTGAGAGTGTTTGAGAAAAGAAGGTGAACAAGAGAAGGTGGAAACAGAGAGGAGTGTGCACTCTTGAGTAAGTGCCATACAAAAATCACACCATCACACATATCCTTCATCCTTCTCAGGCACAACCATTCCTTGCTTGTCTCTCTTTAACCAGTAGATGGTGCTCTGATGTAAGATTTAACTAAGTACTCCGTGTGCATACAAACTTTCTGTATGCGCATATGTGTGTGCTCACCCGGGAGAAGCTGTCAAAACATCTGTCTCAGTTGTCCCTGCATATCTCTGCTGATCAGAGAGCAGACAGGTTTCCTCGTCCCATTTTACCTGCAGTCACCTGCAGCAGGCCTCCACGGAAATGACTGAAGAGGAGGCAATTACAGGAGCAAGCAATGAGAAGCAGATGTGCAATTATGAGAACAGAGGTTTGCACTTAGCCCGCTCATTGCCCCAGTGTCCTCCCTGCAATCCACAATGCAACCCACAGCAGCCAGCTCCGCACACTGCTAATTAAGTCCTCATCAGAGCCAGAGAGTTACAACACTGATCATCACAAACACAAGTCAGAATCACATCCTGTGCTCATAACAATCACTGCTCATTTCACTCATGATTTCACACATACTGACTCTTAAGTCTGTTTTTTTTTTTAATGACTGCATGAGTAAACGTTTAATTCTATAGTCTGAAGGCCTAAAATGAGCACCAAACTGTTGAGTGATGCTTTGAAAAACTAACACTTCCATTGACAGTGTGGTAGCAAAGACAGGCATCAGTCCAGTTCAAGTTCCCAACCATAGACTGTATTTACTATGGACAACTTGGTTCCGCCTTCTGCCAGTTGAAGCCAAAAAGCTCTCGGTAATTTTGCATTTTTTCTCCAGTTCCTGAAACAAATGTTGCACAGTACAGTGTATGCATTCGGTAGGAGAGTCACTGTGATGACGCTCTGCTCAAACAGTGTATCCCCCAGGTGAGCTACGCAATCTTCGTATTCCCATAGGCTGTATCAAGTGTCAATCATAGCAAACATGAACCCCCTAATAACTTTTAAAAACGGAGCTGTACGGAAAAAAGAGGACTTGAGCATAAACCAGTCTTATAATATCTGCTTAGGCAAAGTTCTTGTCATAGTTTGTTCCATGTAAAGAGAACAGCAAATCTTTTTTTTTCCCCATTTCAGTTCTTGAACTGTGAAACAGACCAAAGACACTAAGATCCTGAACTCTTCTGTCTGGTGAAAGTAGGATAGAAGATGCGAAGACAGCAGAACTCAAATAGAAAGCAGCCAAAACTGAGCACAATCCATTCAACTTGGCTAATTCGGGATCAAATAAACAATCTCAAGTTGCTTTGTTAAATGTGGCGAGCGTTTACACTAGTCATTGATCCCCTGTCACATGTCTGTGCTGGACACTGCTCTGGTCAAGTCAACATATCACACTGCACTACAAAATGTTGTTTGCTATCTGTGCTTGTTTACATCCAAGTAGTGGAACATTATTGCATTATGGGAGTAACCATTAAGTGGAGCTTCACCCCTGACTACAGCCTAGACTCTACATATGACCAGCATTGGAGGCCAACAGTAGTAAAATAAAAATTATCACCACTGTAAAACTGACAAGTATTTCTGGTGCCAAATCGCTGGGTAACGACTCAACGCTCACACTCCTAGTCTGGACTTTAAAGCTTTGAGAAGTGGTTTGCAGGTCTATCACCTTTGTCCAACACAGATATAAAAGTTGCAGAAACCACTCTCTATTTAGACTCAAGACAGGATTCAATTCTACTTTAAAATTCTAGTTTCTCTTTAAAACTTTGTACCAGCTGCTGAATATGAGGAGTAAAATTGAGGGGATTATCAATTAAAAAACTACAACTAAGATATCTGCAGTGACAAACAAACTCCATCCATACACTCAAAGCAGGTTTGTTGGCATAGATTTTGCTTGAACTTTTTTTTTAATGTTGTGCATCTTGGGATAACACTGTGAATTGACACTATATCATTAAAGATTGATTGATTTACATGTTTTAGATGGACTAATGTAATAAATTGCTTTTTTTTGAAGAATATGTAAATGTATTGAGTGTAAAAAAGGTAATTTCCCAACTGCAAGTTTTAAAGCCAGCCTGCACAGTCAGGGAACTCTTCTTTTAACACTAGGACTATGTTTACACGTGCCCGGCTGTTTTCATAAACGGACATTTCACACTCTTCGTCTTCGGCTACCCAAATCTAAATTTTTTCTCCATTTGCATGCAAACGTGCAAATTGAGTTTTCCAAAATCTCCACTCTGGCCAAAGTTTTTCAAAAGCATCGTTTTCAGGGGCAAATTCTCTGTTTGCGTCTAAATGAAGGGTGAAGATGGGGACTAGAAATAGGCTGGAACGAAGGTAAAATGACACAACAAACTGGCAATAGAGGGGAGAGCACAGAGGGATTAAGTCTACAGACAAACAAGGGAGAACAAGACGCAGGTGAGGGTGATCAGGGAGGAGCATGAGGCAGGAACATGAGAGGCGGGATCTGAAAAGACACAGACAAGGGTAAGTAAAAAAAAAACAAAAAACACAAACATGAACTAATTCAGGGACTAGTTGAGGCAAACAGCTGAATAGTACTAAGGTGAACCTAGATAAACAATCTGAATGACAGTTTAAAAGTAAAACAAACTTAAAGAAAATGATAAAGGTAAGTGTCACATTTTGCCCTTTTTTCAATGTGAAGGTAGGATTACTCATTCTAGGAAGTTATAAAAATCATAAGCTTTGGCCAAAGCAACCATTTTTAACATAATTTTACCTGCTTTTTCAATTTCAAGCTGTCCAACAAGAGCCAAATATTGAAACAGGACAAGTTCTCAGACAGTCGTCCACTTTGCCAACACTGGCTCATTGTTATAGAAGGTAAATTATTGCAGCACCATATGTGTAATAACCTACAAATCCCAATCCTTGTTCATATAAGCACCTGTTTTAAGCTCTGAGCACAGCGTAAATGTTGTGACTTTGTTTGTGTGCCTGATTCAAACATCTGGTAAACTCTTCTGTACAGCCAAGCATTTTAAAACTTCATAACATCGGTGTGACCGCCAGTCGTGTTGGCTTTTTATACGCTGACACACCTGCACTCTCGCCTCTCCTTTTGACTTATGCATGCCCCCGCTGACGGATAAAAAACATGGAGGCCATGCAGAATGAGGTGTGCCTCTGCTGATGAGGGAGAGATTGAAGGACCCACATGCGTTTCCTGTGTCTCTCCGGGCTTCTGAGGAGATCTGCTGCTTACTCAGGAGTGAAAGCCTCAAATTAAAGTGTTTGTGCTGACAAAGGACAAATGGGATTTTTTCTTCGCGCAAACGGTGCAGGATTGTGTTGGCTTGCTCAAAGTGTCAGGGAGAAAAAAAAATGTCTGTTGGTCGACACCTCTAATGAAACATGCGCATGAAATTAAGGGCCTGCATATTGCTGCTGATGTTTAAGTTGTAGTCATATAAAGAGGCAGGGATGAGG